TCAACATATACGTAGCAAAGTCAAACAAAAACGATGCAACCCAAAATATGCACAAACTTATTCCGCTGGAAATCTGCAATAGTTTTGCTTTCGACACTCGTTCTCGTATGTAAAATATTATGTAGAACGAGGATACGATTGAAATGGCATTTGAGAGAACTATTACCATTGGTTCAATATACATAATATTTTGAAACCTTTGGTAATCCACTCGTGGATATTCGCGGATTGGCAGTGGAAAATCAAACACTCTGATACTGTGATCGGCTGTAAGCCTCGCCTTCACCATAGCATTGTGTACCAAGTTGAGCGATACTGCCGATGGATCGGTCGCTTTGAAGCTGAACCACGCATGAATTTCACTGGCATTGCTCATTGACATGCCAGCTAAGTACTGGGTATACACTTCTGCAAAATTGTTCTTAGTCTGTTCTTGGAAATACTCATCGATTGAAATGTTTTTGACTACGTTCAATGTAGCGGTGGAATTCTTGAAGATTCTCTCATATTCTTGGAAGGTTCTAAAATTTAAATACGTTTTACATTGGTTTTTTTCTTTAATTTCCGTTTAAATAATAATTTTTTTTATTGATTAAACTTACTTATTGGTGATGTCATTGGATTTCGTTGGATATCGGAGCAAAGTGACCGTTTCTCCGTATTGACTTAAATCGATTTCTCTTTTAGGATGAAACTGTTCTGGATCGGTGAGTAAAGCGGTAAGCATGATGGACACGATCAGAATCAGAATTTGCAGCAAAAAAAAACTTCGGCTACGTAACCAACAATAGAATCGTTTTCTGAACATAGCATGCCACTGATTCACATACAATCTACAGCCACGTAGCAATGAAATGGTACTAGAGTCTGGATAATTTACGATTGGCGTGACTCTTGGGCCAATCCTTGGAGCTTTTGTTGATCTGCTGCTTCTTTCTTCTAATAGAATCATCGAATTGGACGCAATCTTTCCAAACACCATCTCCATTGGTGTTGAAAAAACACTGAAGCGACTTATACCGAGATTTTGTTGCTTGTCTTCCAACCGCTCAAACAGTTTTTCAAATTTATCCACATGCTCAAGCGGTAGAATATACACTAATTGGTTCGGAGTGTCGTCATGGATATCAATATCAGGAATAAATTGTCGTAGAACTTCAACAACAGCATCTGGAACACATTCATTATCTTTGTCGCAAACCAACCGATAACGACCGCTTCCGAAGCGTTCTTTTAAAAATACAGGTGTACCGCCACATTTGAGCTTTCCTTCGACCATTATTGCGATTTGATCGCCAATATTTGCGTCTTCCATCAAACTTGTTGTCAACAGAATGGTTCGGCTTTTCTTTTCTTTTTGTAATAGATCCCAAATAGCATAGCGATCCGGTGGAACTAACCCCAGAGTCGGCTCATCGCAAAGTATCACCTTTGATTTACCGCACAGAGTGATTGCAATGGAAAGTTTCCGTTTCATTACACCGGACAAATATTTGACCCGTTTGTCGATGTGTTGCTCCATTCCCATTAGCTTGGTATAGTAAATTGCTTCTTTTTCAATTTCCTTCTTGGGCATTCCTTTCAATCGGCTAAAGAGTTGGATGTGTTCGTGCACAGTTAATTCGTTATACACGATGTTCTGTTGTGGACAAAAACTCATCGACTGTCGGGCCTTTTGAAGATTCTTCTGTATGTCGTATCCGTTTACGATGATATTTCCTGATGTGGGGGCATTTATGCCAGCTAACATTGAGATGAACGACGATTTTCCAGCTCCATTATCACCAAGCAAAATTGTGATTTGGTTGGAGAAAATTCTCATCGTCAAGTTATCAACAGCAACCGTTTTGTTGGAATAAACTTTGCGTAAGTGTTTTACCGTGATTTTTGCGAGAAGATTTGGTTGGGCTTCAAAGTTCGGGTTCGATGATATGGAGTCGGTTTGTGTAACGTTTTTGCAGCATTTTTTGCAGAATGGAACACAGAATTGTCGAAACATGTTTGGCAACATTTTGTCGACATAGAGAGCAACTATCAAATAGAAGAGGGATGATCCCAGCATATAGCAAATAGTTATACCGAGTGATAAATCATCTTTGGCTAAAGCTGATGCCCAGAAATCAGACCATTGTATTCCCTTTTTTATATTCTCGAATTCCATAATCAGTCGACATCCGTGGGCCATTGCCGTATTCGAGAAAATGCATGCTATCCATTTGGTTGTCAATGTTGTTGTTGTTGTGCGAGATAACACATACGGGATGTATAAAATAAGCCATATGAATACCGCTACAAGGCCGGCTATGGTTGCTTCGGTCAAAATCACGCTAAGCATGAAGCAGTAGGTTGTCATTGAGATAGTGTAAACGAACAGAAACACCCAGAGCACAAATATATCCGAATGTAGATTTATCTAAAAAAAAGAGTGTTTATTGACACAAGTGATGATCATCCAGAATGTTCGAAAATATTGAACTGAAAGACTACCTTCAACAAAATTACCACTATCGTACTTGAAACGATCAAATAAATCATTGTGCGTGCACACCAGCTAGCCCAGTACAAACTACTTGACACTCCGATGATTTGTAACACGTCTTTCAATTGTCGTTCTTTCTCCATCACAATATGGGTGACTGTGTTCATAATGAAGACGGAAAAAGCCACAAGCAAACATATGCCAAAGAGGTTTCCGAGCCACTCAGTGTCAAATTTATCAATTATATCTGGGTATTGATGCATTAGAATCTCGGGCAAATTATCATCGTCTGGCCCATTTATACGGTTTTGCTTGATGAAAGCACGCGCAATGGCATGTTGTATTGGCAAAAATCCTTCGCGATAGTAATACGGTTTTTTGTTATCGTGCTCAAATCGGGGTTCGCTTGGAAGCCGCAAATTATAATCGAGGTTCGCAGGAAGTTGCGATAGATTCTGTTGGCAGTGGATATTCTACTTTTAGAACAGGATAATGATCTTCAGTTTTTTATTTTAATGTACGAAAAAGTGCTCACCGATGAATGATTGAATTCTATTCCAGCCAAGAGTATTTCACTACTATTGCCAGCATTCATAGCTTGTTCAATTTGCGCAGAATTATTAACCGCAACTACACCGCCCAAATGTAATAATTCTATGGTTGAAGTCATTAGTGTTTGGAGGACATCGTTCATCGGCGAATAAACCAATTTCCATTCGTTGATGGGTGTACCATTCTGACTTTTTTGTGAAAATCTTTACATTCGAAAAATGTTCAATGCCAAATTCATTATTTTTCGTTATTGACATCACTTACCGTAGGTAGTCTAGCGAATTTATCTCAAATGGTGTAAGAGTCGATAGTCTTCTATTCGGCACCAGAACCATGCACAACGGCAAAACGAAGGTCATGAATATCAATATCTCGAAAAAGTTTCTATTTTGATGACGAAATTGAACGGCAAAATTCTTCCACAACAGAATCACAAATGTTCCACATTTTGAGGACTCCTCACATGGCTCCAGCACATGGTCGCTCTGTTTGGTTGGCCCTTTAAACCACTTCATTCGCAATGAAAAACTTTTTTGCTATTGTTGGAAGTTGATTCCGAAGTTTCTGTGCAAATTCAAAGAACGAACTACTTTTCGAAACAATGTAAAAGATAACCAAATGTTTCTTTCCAGAATTAAAACAAATGAGTGCTAAATTTAAATGAAAAAAAAACACCAACAAAGCAATGGCAATGCGATTGAAATATCATTAGTCTTAAAATGTGTACATGTTGTGTGAAAATCGCAGCATACTTCGTTACAGCGAAAATTGTTCAGGATTGACGATGATTGAGAAGGCATTGTGTCTTCAATCAATCAAATGGAAAAATATTCTTATTGGGTAAAAACTTCAACGCTCACACTCGTAGGGCTATAGTCGGAATCAAGTGTATTATTGATTCAAAATAGTTGTCTTTGTTTTTAATGAAGTTGCGTAGCTCAAGTGTGTGTGACAGAGTGTATGAAGATTCATTTGATTTCGCTAAAGAAATGGTATACGATCAACACCTACTAAAGACCATTTTCATGCTTGTGCGATCGGACAAGTTTTCGTTGTTAAAGTTGTCGAAGAAATGAAAAAAAAAATTATTGGAAAAATTATTCATAATGATAAGCGCGTATTTTTGGTTTCGATCATTTTATTGTTGATATTTTGTGAGTGACAAAAACACCTGGTCAAGTGAAGATTGACTGATGGATAGCATTGGTTTCGCCTTTTCCATGATGATTTTTCGCTTCAGAATCAATTCGAGCATTTTGAATTTTATTCAAAATCCTTTGGAGAATTTGTTCTTCAATAGTTGCGTGGAGCCTAATCACTTAAATTCTTCGTTAAACATAATTGACAAGCGAGTACAAAGAGCCTCGTATTCTTCCATGCTGTGTGATGATAGAACGATTGCTTTTCCTGTAAGACGAGCTTTGGAGAGTAAAGTCCACACCTTCCGTTTGGCAGCTGGGTCCATGTTAGTCGTCGGTTCATCTAGAGATGTTCCGTGTAGATTCTAAAGCGTGTTAAACTCAAAATTCACTCAGCATAAAATAAACAATCGGCCTAAATAAACCGCAACAGGATTTCCAATCAACGCAAGGTACACCCATTTCATTGAACTATAAAGAAATAATATGAACATTCCCAAAATATATTGTTGGATATCGAAAATGGACCCAATTGTGTGCCTTATCTGAATCAAACTGGAATAAAACTAGAACCTTAAGGTCAGATGAATTGATTTTTTTAATTAATATTATTGAAATGAAATGATATGTTTGTCTTGATATTTTCATTTAATTTTTAAAATTCCATTCAAAATATGCGCGCCACTTCCAATGGAAGATACTGTTGTACGGCGTATACGATTAAGAGTGAATGACATCTGGAATAGTTGGAAAAAATGACGTTTCTTACTTTGTTTTGGTTTTTTACAGTAGTTTCAAAGTTCGGTATTTGACACATTTTGCCAATTGATGAGTAATTATTGCTTTTCATAAGAAGACGCAAGTTGTATTTTAATCTGAAATTTTATCGGAATGGTATTATCTCGGATGTGCACCGCATTCGTTTAGCGTGAAATAAAAAACTTTTTTCAAGTATTTCACTGAGAGTTTGTTAAGTTACTTCATAAGTAAATGTGTTAATAACGTTATATCATAGAATTACTTTAAAAAAATCGAAGGAAAATCTCAAGTCACTCATAGACTAGACATGTCAAAAGTGTTCTTATTTCCAATTGCGGTGTTTTTGTTATTCCAAATCACATTCATCTGCACGTATATCGCGGCGATTTTAGAAGGTCATATCGTACCGGATATTCCATACATTAGCGATGCAGCCACATACTCTCCCGAGTCATGCGTTTTCGGTCAATTCATAAACATTGGCTGCGTGTTGCTAGGTATCGTTGTTTACATCCGATACCGTCAAATCGAGCAGTTGATTTACCATCATCCAAATCTAATGGAAACTTCAGCTAAATTGAATATAGTCGCAATGTGGCTCGGTATTGGATCGTGCCTAGGTTGTAGTATCGTTGCAAATTTCCAGGAAACAAATGTTCGCATTATGCATTACATTGGCGCTCTAAACTGTTTTGGTCTTGGAACGGCGTATTTCTGGATGCAAGCTTACCTCACCTACAACATTCACCCGTACGTTGGATCGCTACGACTGGCACATGCTCGACTCGGACTGGCCGTTTTGTGTACCATTTTCTTCGTAGTGGTTGCTGTTACAGGAGTCATTTCACATATTGTAAGTTTTTTATTTTCAACTTTTCATTATAACAATTGAGTTTCTTTTTGAATTTCTTTTAAATTTCTTCAGTTATTCAATGGAAAGGACCCGAGGAAATGGTATCCGTCGGATGGTGGTTGGAAGTACCATGTTGCTAGCTCAATATCCGAATGGATCGTTGCGACAATCTTCTGCTTCTACATTCTGTCATTCACTGATGAATTCAAATTAATATCGATTGATCACCCGCCATTGGACATAGATGGATTTGATACCGTAAACATTCAATCAAGTCAAAATGAGGAAAATGCCTAGCCATCTAGACATCCAATCTTCCGAAGCAACTGAATTAATTTCCAATTGCGATCCCAATGTGACATGAACAAGTATTTTAGTTCGTATTTAGTTGTTGAACTTACTTGAAAACACCAAATATACATCAATACAACTAAGCGCATTGGCTTTTGTTTTAATGTATTTTAATTTGAATCTCAATAAAATCGGATTTAGAGACAAAATTATGTGTTTCATGAAAATGATTGATTCTGGGAGAGTTTATTTTGTTATTTCATCTTTCTCACATTTTATCGCCTTTTAGGAAAAAAAATACTTCCGTTAAACATTGGACGTGATTACTAGTACCCACGCTGATTATTTTGTTTAAAGAGAATGAGCGTATGCGTGTGAGGGAGATGCGATAAAAATTTCGATATCGCCCACGAATCATTCGGCTTCAAATGATTCCATTTCTTTTATGTACCACTCTGGCAAGAAGCTGAATTCATTCTGTTTTTTATACGTTTCCATGAAAACGAATTCAGACTTTGTGGGATCAAAATCAAAACGGAATACATCATACGGGCTATTTACTACGTTCATCTCGTTTGCCACATATTTCAGGAACTGACTGCAAAACTCCATGCACAGAGAAGGCGACCAATAACTCTAGAAAAAGTGAAAAAGGTCTTTTTAGTTTTCACGACGGCCATGAAGAAATTGATTTTCAATACAGAAAATTGAATTGCATTACTTGGCACTGTTTCGGAATATCTCTCACATCAACTGTCGACAGTTCATTTACAATTCCATCAGAAGTCCTCGTTCCCACGATGATCCTTTTGATATTGACCAAAAAACTTTGACACCACCAGTTACGTAGCTTGAATCGATGGTAGTTCTGCTTTTGTCTATGATTTTGTTCGCGTAGCTTGACCTTTAATTCAACAAATTTAAATTGATTGAGATCAACGTGGTCCAAATCGTTCGTATCATCGCTTTCGATTCCATCCATTTCAGCGCCGTACAAAATTCGTTGTCCATTCAATGTTGTAGAGAACATACAGCAGAACTCCTCGGCCTCATTGACAGCCACATTTGTTGGTGGTTTTTCAGATGGCTTATCTAAAATTACAACAAACAAAATCGATTAGTAATTGTCATTTTCCTTTTATTCCCATCTCTTACCTGTCAAAATGTATTGTTCAAATTTGAAACCGTATGACAAAATTCGTTTAGTGGCTTCAGTTTGATTATTTCGTTCTTGGATTTGTTTTTCAGTGTCGCGAGCGCATAAATAAATGGTACCTTTGTATTTTGTTGCTAAAATTATCCACGCATCTCTTCGTTCATACGGCGTACACATAATCAAACGTAACAATCCCCGAAAGCATACAAAGTCTGCCGATAAAATCTTATTCCCATCATCTCGTGTTGTTTCTTGTCTTAATTGTTGCCTGTTGCGCAATATGAATTCCAAGAGATGGGTGACTTTTTCATCAGTGCACGATTCTGGCTTGCGAATCACATTTTCGATTCCTTCATTCAAATCATAATAAATTCCATTCGATTGATTATAATTCCTGTAAACATATTTGCAATTCCGAGCGTCGGGAAAATATTCGCGGTTTTCGTTCAAACTGAAGGAGCCCACTATTTTCGGTTGCGATATTGATGGAAAGTGCCGAGGATTTTTAGTATTTTGCGGTGATAAATAAGTATTTTTTACTGACGATTGCATTTTGTTTTGTAAACACTGTTCTCACGTCTATTTTATTCGGAAGATTTATGTTACCATAGAGCGTAGACTTCTGTCAAATTGTGAAAACGTCACATTCACTGGAAGTAACATGGTTCAATTGTAGGAACGCACCCTCCTTAGACATTGGAATAAAACTGAATATTATAATTTGATCCATTATTTTTTTTGCAAATGCAAAACGATTCGATGAGTTTATCTAAAGTTTTGCTCCATTTGCATCAATATAAATTAAATAATATAAGCGAATATTAATTATCATTCAAATGAAATGATTTTAAAGTGAAAAAAATATGTGTATTTCCACATTGTCTCAATTGTCGATCGTTGTAACTTATTGTTTCTCTTGCATTTGATTGTTGGATTGGAAAAAAATATCAAGTAAATAATTCGTGCGAAATCATAGATTCCGAATGCAAAGTTTACTATTTGTTTGTCACAAATGTTACTAAGATTTCCAAGTATTGTTTACGAGACTGATCTGAAAAATTGTTTTGTCAAGTGCAATTTCGTAGATATTTGTTCAATTCAACATTCAGGGAAACCCATTCTACTCATCGGTTTATTGAATCAGCCATTGATTTCATCACAATCAATTTGATTTACTGCATAAGAATTTCTAGTAAACAATGAATCGTAGAAAATGATTTAGATTGAAATTCCAAATTTCTGATTAAAAACGATTAAAATATGATTCGGTTGTTTGAGGGATTTGATCAGCAAGTACTTGACTTTGATTAGATTTCTTTTTAATTAGAAATTTTGGATTTAATTGTTTTCTACGGTTCAATGCTTCCTAGAATTTCTTATGAGGCGAATTGATTTTAACAAATCGATGACTGATTCAATAAACCAAAAAGTAGAACAGATTTTCTCAAACCGCAAAAAAACTCATTGATCTCAGTACATCAGCATACAAGCCATTAGAAAATAATAGCAAACAAAGCATAAGAGATTTAAGGGTTTCTAATGAACACATGAAATAAGCGGCGGAACCGAATGGTTATCGTTTGTAAAATCAATAAGTAATAAGAGCTGCATAAAATTTGTGCTAGCTCACAAAAATACTAATACAACGAGACGAGAATTAGTTTCCAATACGTTGCAAACACAGCGACTCGTTCACTTGCTTCTTGAACGTGAACCGAGCTAGAAGGAAAAAATTATCATTCGATCAAATCGACAGTGTTCAATCGACAAAAGAACGTGAAAAAAGTCTAACGAGTAAGTTTTTACCCATTTTTTTCAATCGATCGACCGAATTTTATCGACAGAATAAAAGAAATTCAAAATCATAGTGAAAATTTGTAGAAATTCTCGTGTTTTGTAAGATTTTTTTTTGTCCTGTGTTTGCTCAAGTGTTCATATCACTAACAAGAATTTTTCCGATTGTCATCAACGACAACTTAGATTTTATCGATAAAAAAACGCGCATCAAATTCAATCTTTTCCTATTCCACCAAAAATCCGCGTAGACTTTTGAAAAAATGTTGTCAGAATTCGATTGTTCGCGAAATTTTGCCGGTTTTTTTTCCCTTGTGTCGTTGCACGTGCTTGTGCTGTGTCTCTTCAATAACGGAACATTCGCCAAATCACAGTAGCACTGTACGCTGTCTCGGGCCGAAAAAAAAACCGCTTCACTTTTGGCTTCTCATATTTTCAACAGCACATTTATCCGAACTCTGTCTCAATCGTGAAGCAATAAAAAGTAACAAAAAAAATCATGTTTCTTCCCTCAAGTGTTCGTCGCTCGTCGCATATTAGCATTCGTGGTCGGTGCATGTTTATTTGTTTTTTGCTCTTGTTCATTCGATTGCCAGACGATTCGTTGTGCATTGTATACAATTTGGTCCTCCGCCATTTTTCCAAGAAAAATAAAATCTCATCGGAGGTATCCATAAATGTGACAGCACCACCACCCGGCTTCGTTGTCGATTTTTCTTAGAACTCATTTAGCTGAGATCAATTTTTTTTTCGTTCGATTTTTCTGCACTATCAGCACAATTGTGCACAATTCGTCAATCAGTTTAAACTGATGCCGGTTGCACATTCATATTGATCTGAGCATTTGAAAAGGCAAATCATTTGTTGTGCATACTGTTCGATTCACAGTGATTGTTTTTCTTTTCTTTTTTTTTTCAATTTAAGTAATTTAGTCAATGTTTTTAGGTAGAAAATACATCATATCTGATTAATTTTCCTCATTTTTTTCTGTTTTTTTCTCTTACAGATGGGCTACCAGCGAAAAAAAACAAGAAAGAAGGGGAAGCCAATTGCAGTGCTTGGGGACGTGATTAAGGAGGATGAAAAAGAAAAGGATTCCGGCATAAGAACCATCAAAACGCAGTTGCGTGCCATTCTTCGGCCGGAATACCGTGACTTGTTGATTGCAGCCATCCCCGACAGATCAATAATGGCAACGAAAATTTGTGCACTCGCCTCGCAGTTGTTCCTGTTCCGTTGTGAGCGCGCATTCGACGACAATGACAAAGGATTTTTTGAACAGAATGGCGAAAAGGTGATTCGGTCGTGTTTTTTTGGTGTGCTCAAGAAAAATATTTACAAGAAGAAGAAAATGCCGCCGGAATTTCGTAAAATGGTGCATCAGCTGGACGATAGCCATCGAGTCGTTTGGCCCAACGCAGACTATTTCGGCAATGCAATGAATGATTTGATTGACACGTACATAACGAACGTAAAAAACAACTTGAAGACGCATAGCAAGAAACGCCTGCGCGAATGGCTGCGTGTAAAAGTGTTCGAATCTTCGTTGGTTGCTCGATACGAACAGGCTGACATCGACCGTGTGATTAGTTTGGCAATTTTTGGCAATGACGATATCACAATCAATGGCATGGATGATGTTGCCAAACGTGAGCGGCGTACGTTGTTGATTGGAATGGTCACGAAGAACAGTTGGTGGGACATACCAGACAACAACATCGGCCTATTCACAAATGGGAAGGACTGGTTCAAGAGCATCGCATTCTGGATTTCCCTCCAGCGGAAAATTGATGATTTCAACACCTGCGAGGAATATCGTGAAGAACGCCGATGCCAACGCGAAGAGTTTGAAGAGCTGAAACGATGCCGACGTCGAAATCACCGTCCGTGCACTTGGCAGCAGCCGACAGATCGAGGCCAAAATGGAAATGAGTACATTGAGAAAGGGCCGCCGAGAGTGAAAAATCTGGCAGTGATTCCCATTTGCAGTTTCACTCGTACCCACTACACGTTGGACAATCGAACATTGTACTCTTTGTTGCGTCAACTTGGAATCGTACCACTTAACATCACAGAGGACGAGTTCAGAAAACAAAAGGAGTATTATTGGGGCCAATACTTCGATATGCGGAAAATCTATCATCTCGGTCGCAGTAGAAAAAAGTTCCGTTTCCGAATTCTCTCGAATGGACAGGCCGTATCGCTACAATTCGATATTGACAAAACGAAATTGAAACCAGTTGACAAAAAGGCCATTGTTCAAAACTACAAAAAGTTTGTCAATGAAGGTGCAACTGATCCGGGTGTGAATACGTGGAACGCAACAACGGTACATAACATCGAAACTGGCAAAGAGGTAAACAATATGCGTGCATTGTTCATTTGATAAACCAAAGTTATGCCATTGTCATTGTCATTTTTATCTAAACGGTTTCTTTGTTCTGTTTTGTTTCGTTTTTTGTTAGGCGAACTACACAATCAGCAGCAAACAGTATCATTACTGGACGAAGCAAACGGTTCGAAATCGACAGGGAAAGCGGTGGACCAAAGACTTTGTCAAGGTAGAGAGGCAGGATCGTGAAAATCGTGCGCTCTATCCGGTGATGCCATCGCCATTGGGTAGGCACTGGCAGAACTACATTCGGCATCGACTCAAAATGACGGAACGTGGCATTGCCGTGTATACGACAGACAAATACACGAGACTCAACTTTGACAAGTATGTTCGAGCAAACAGTGTGACCGATAGCATAGCCGGAATGTTGACCAACCATCAGCCAACACTCATGCATTTCGGAGCTGCTCAAATGTCGCCCAGTTCACCCATCGGCATCAAAAAGTCACTGCGTTGCCCGGGCAATCGGAAAATGATACGAAGCTACAAAAAGTGTCGTGGTTGTGTGTCTAATATGGTCGACGAGTATTACACTTCACAAACATGCGCCAAGTGCTTCGGCCGTTTTGATCGACGCACGAAACGACATCGCTTCAAAGTCTGCCATGATTGTCGGCCGAAATTGGTAGAAGCAATGCTGCCATCAATGATCGTGTGCAAGGTCAACAAACGAAAGATGAGGCACGAGAAGCTGAAACTGTTTTTGCTCGAGAAAGAAGCGGAAGAGGGCAACGGAAATCCAGCGGTTGGCAATGATGTCCCACATCCAGATCAACTAAACCCAGAATTACTCCCAAAAGTGGCAATCTACCACAAAACATGGCATGTAAATGAGTCTAGTAAAATCGTGGAATACGTGAAATTCAATTCAGCCGGTGAGATGGGAGTTGTCGAGCCACGAGTACACAAGACGACATGGCATCGCGACATAGCCGCTGCAAAATGTATCCTGATCAAAGGTAAGTGCTCATAATATATTGATTGAATTGCATGTGATGTGAGGTGCAGTGCTTTATTTACATATCATTCATTGTTTTCTTGTATGATTTTCAAGGACACTATGACTTGTTTGGGTACACGTTACCCGAAACATTGCAGAGGCCATCCAACCAGCGAGCTGCTGTCAACAACTAACCAGCTTCATGTATTTCACGCCATTCACATTGAATAATTTAAAAATTAAAATATAACATTATGTTATTTCCGCTATGCCTGATTGTTGTGGTATAGTAGGCGTACATACTTATCTAAGGAGGCCAGAAGTACCCATGTAAGTAAATTGTTTTCCAATTGAAATAAGAGTATTGAATGTATTGATGCTAATTTTATGCAATTTTTTCTCCATTCATTCCATGCACAATTGGATCACTATTACGGTTACTTCTACGGTTAAATCTATCCCCGTATTCAACCTTGGAAATGTGCCTGGAATCGGATGTATTTGGGTTGATAATTGTTAGATGGGTAATAAGAGCTGCAGAATTTATTTGTGATATCAATTTCGTGAATAATGAGGAAAATCAATTTATTGAATATGATCTCCAGACACGAAATAAATAAATAAAATGCCAATAATAGAAAGACAATTGTTTTGGATAAAAAAAACTCATTTGTGAATGGCTTAGTTTTATTGTCACGTTTAGAATAGAGTTGTACATTTGTTTGATTCATATTTGTTTACAATTAATTTTCATAATAATAAATATGTCAATGGTTTCCATGAGATTTATTAGATTCGCATGAGAGTTTTCTTTATTTAAAATTTCGTATACCATAAACGTGCAAAGAACATAACTCTGCATTTCAAAAGTGAAAACACTCTCTCATTCATGAGATAATTATTGAAATATAGAAAACACAGAATGAACACTTCAGAGTCATGAAACTTTCTCACGCTATGCGTAGTGCAATATGGATTTGTCTTCTTTTAAAACGAAGTTTTCAATGGACTTAATTTCAATGAAAAAAAACCGGCAACAATGGTGATCGATGGTAAGTATTTTGAATACGAGAACATTTGCTCATATTTTCCTGTAGAAATTTGAACAATGCTCACATCAACACAACCAATTAATTGTCAATTACAACTGCCCATGGATGATCGATTCTGCCATATTGGATGGCTGTCAGCGTATCTCTGATCCGTCCGAACATTGGCTTCTCTTGTTCCATTGTTGGTATAAGTAGATCTTGACCCAAATACTGAATTCGTTCGATTGGTGAAACGACACAGGCTGTACCAGCTCCAAACATTTCCAATAGCTACGAAGTAAAAAGAATTTCCATTAGACACGCCGTTTTCAATTGAAATCATGAATGTGTAAACTTACTCTTTCTTGTTGGATTAGTTTGCAGACAGTTTGCATCGTAATTGTACCTTCAGTTACTTTGCAATCATTCCATTGTTTGGCCAAATGTAAAATAGAGTCTCGTGTTATTCCAGGCAAAATCAACCCATTCAGTGGAGGTGTGATCAGTTCTCGTTCTATTTCAAGACAAATAAATTTGTAAGTTAGAATTTCGAAAAAGCAAGATTTATCGAAAATAGAAAAAAATGTGAAAAAATTACAACGAACCTCCTTGTTCATTGATGAATAGCAGGAAAATGTTCATTGTACCGACTTCTGTGAGCTGATGTTCCGGCCCGTAGAGCCACAGCACTTGCTGTAACCCTTTGTTACTAGCTTCTTTTTGTACGTGAATTGTTGGTGCGTAATTTGAACCCATTTTCCTATCGCCCACACCACCGGGCCACGCTCTTGTGTACTGTGGATCGGCCAGGAGGGATACTGCTTGGGATTTTTTGGACGATTTGTCGAAATAACCGCCAACTGGGCTTAAAATTGTGTAGAGTAATGCTGAATCGGAGGAGGCAACACCAAGTGTAGGATCGATGCCGATGAGAGTGGGTCGGATGTACAAACTGGCCTTTTCTGTGTGTGGTACCCATTCCTGGTCGATTGATACGAGCCGCTGTATGCATTTGATAAATTCATCACCATCAAAAGTGGGCAAACCGGAACGTTTAGCCGATAAGTTCATGCGGTTCATGTTCATGTTTGGTCTGAATATACGAATACGTCCATCAACACCACGATACGCCTTCATTCCTTCAAATAGCTGCAAAATCGTATTTATTAATTAATGAATCGATGGTTCAGTCAAATATTGTTGAATTCAATTGAAACAATCGCTCTGAAGCAGGATAATACTAAGTGTGCCCGGAACGTTTCAACCACAAATAAAGAAATTATTGACTGAAATTATCCTGCGGCAAAGCCATTGATTCAAGTAAAATGACATTCGAAACATGATGGAAAAATAGAATCGAATTAGCTTTGAAAATGCCAGAACGAAATCGAGAAATTCTACTGATATTCTTTTCGACCGTATCAGCCTAATAAACACATTTTCATTCTCGTCATTGCCTGTTCTATTGCGTATTCGCTGCAGCGATAGCCTACTTTAATCTATTTGCTCTTGCGTCATCTTCATCGATACTGTTGACGAAAAAAATATTCCGTTTTCTTGTTGTTTTCGATTGTCAAGCCTCAAAATTGCGATTTTGTTCACTTTGCGTTTTGGTGTATTAATTGAGCATGTCGATTGATAAAACCAGTTCCAATTTGCCATTGTGAAAATAACAAACGAGAGTTCCAATTGAATTAACGGAATCTGTTGTTTAGCCTTAGTAGATGATTATGATAAGAGAATTCTAATGATGGCGCTCCTCGAAATGTATCATCTTTTCCTGATGCGTAAAGTAAACGATCTACGTCACCAGCCTCGTCACACGATTCAATAACATAGATCTACGTAAATATCACCATTTTTCTCCGATTTTTTTTTGTACCCGATTGTAAGCTCTTTCCATTTGCATCGATGCTCATTTGAGTCGAGCTGAAGATGTGTGCTTGTCGCAGAATGCAACACGAAATAATTTTATTCTATGTTTATATGAATCAAAGCGAGATAACCTCTTGACAGTGAATGAAATTCATTTTTCGCTTGAGAAAAACAGCCATCAACAAGATTTGTTGTGGCAGATGTATGCGAAAAAATCAAAACACCGAAGTACTTAATCAAGCATTAAACTCTCTTGCGCGCGTGCGACTCTTGTCACAAATAGCTGAATCGAATAAAGAAAACAATTTTTCGAGGCCAATTCTCTCGTACGATCGTCATATTATCGAGCCTTTTTTCCTTTTAAATTTCAGCGGTATCTGACTATTTATGCCGATTGCGTTAGGCTAAGTGAATTCTTCGATTGGTGTTTACAAAAAAAGTCAGGTGATTTGTTATCTAGTATTTTATGGCTTACCTCAACAGCATAGTGCAATACTTTGGCGGCCGGATGAATTACAAGGTTTTCCATTGGGGTGATTTCTGGTTTTTGCCTTTAAATATTTTATTTTCAAAAGTTTTATTTTATTTTTAAATTAAAATATAATTAAATTTTCAATAAATATAAATTCTGAATATTTGAATTACCATCCGCCGAGCGATTTGTGCCAGAAAATTTTCAACATATGATCGGTGAATGATTTGCCAAATATGAGAGCGTCCGCGTCTGGTTTCGGATGAAGTTGATGTGGTGCTGCCAATCGAACGTATAGATCTGATGTTGAGAATAGTTGTCCATTGCCCGGTTCATGTTGGATTGGTTGAGATTGTGTTTCGAAGGCTTTTGGAATGTCAATCACTTTGATGTTGTCGTCGAAGTCGACGGCATTCTCGAGTGGTTGTGCAATTCGTGTGCTGCACAATCGAATTTGCCGTTGCAAAAAGTGCATGAATTTGTGCTGGTTTCGAAGCACATGGCGACAAAATGGCTGTAAAGAGTTTGAAATATATTTTTATTTTTGCTTTAATGAACTGTGTGATCAAAAGATGTCAAACTAGAGACAAAGAAAAAAATATTTCAGATTTGGGTTATATTTGTGTAATAAAACCAGATGCCCCAATTTTATGTTCAGTCAAGGATGATTGAAAAAAAATCTTTATCAATCTAACACGAATTCGTGTCCTTTTTTGGTAAGGTATTGACTTTATTTAGGCTCAGTTCAGCAACTGAATTTGCGTTTAGCTATGCAACACTGATAACGACAATCTAATGTCAGACAACTTTAGTGCAAATTAATCACGAAAGAAATTAAATTAATTTAAGAACAACAATTTTTTGCAACTTCCATGTGCAAATCAGAAAAAAAGTGTTTGTCTCCGTTGTAAGCATCGCATTACTACGTGCTGTCTATTGAATTTACTTCAGGTCACAGAGTGAAAAAGGGTTCATTAAACACTTGCGATAGTAAAATGGTTTTGTCATCTCAACGAAATTTCCTTCCGTAAAATACCGTCTGCGTCAATTTCAGGATATTATTATTTTCAATTAATAAATTAATTGATTATTTTTGCGTCGACATCCTCGACAGAAAAAGATCATATTTGAAAAAATAAACTGGCGTCAGCTGTCGGAAGAAGGAAAGTTCACATGACGACATCGATTATCATGTACGCAGTCATTTTTTCTTGTGGCATGTTATCAATAACACAACTGATTTAGAAATGTGGATAAACAAATTTCGAGCGATAAGATAACGTTTCGTTAATGAATTCATTTGAATTCTTTGGCAGTGCATTGATAGCATTGATAATTGAATTGAAAAACATCAAAATGTCCTTTATCTCTTGATCGCAACACATAGCATTTTTTTGCTGGGAATTTTTTTTTTGTGTCCGTCCAAAGTCTCTACGACTTCACGTAAAATTGTGTTTTTGATTTTTAAACATGACTCTTTTTTTTTTCTTCAGATAAACAACGTGTTGTTTGAATTTTTTTTTTTTGAATGTTCGATCATTTTCTTGAATTGCTTCTGAGCTCATGTGTAGTTTTTCATTGGCAACATTTCATGCGTACAATTAAAAGATTAAATTATGTTGCATTATTGCAGGTTTGTTTTTTTGTCATAAACTTCATTAAACGTGGTAGTTTCCTTTTGTATCTATATTGATACATGTCGGTTGCGTGATCAAATCGCGAATTCTCGCGGCGTACACAATTCGTGGCTCACGATCGTGACTGGCTGTACAAATTATTTATTTTTAAATCGCGACGACACAGCCACGCAGAACACACACATGCCGCACATGCGAAACGTTTCAGCGCGTTTAATTAATTAAATATAAATATGTCTAAGGTTTGCCGAAGCGGTTTGATTGTTTTTTAAAAGCGACAAAAGTTCTCTCTGAATCAATTGACCCAATTTATTTACTTTTCACAGTTTGTAATGTTGTTGCGTGCCTTACCTTACTCCGTATAACCATTTTTGCTACTTCTTCTTCAAAAATTGAACTTAGATTTGAAAGTCACTTGAATTTTCTTCGATTTTCCGAAAAAGTTCGATCGCGTTAAAAGTCCAAATTGGTTTATATAAAAAAGTCTATAGGTCAAACTGACTCAAATGCAAAAATTATTGTTCACTTGTCGAGAATAAGCTTGAAAATGTCCGTAACTACAATATAATTGATATTTCCCAAAACGATTTGATTTAGTCGCCAACGTTACATGTGATATTTATTTCTAACGGTCACTTTTAACTGTATCCTTTGGTTTTGCGTTGAAAATCAGATTTTTACTCGTGTGCTTACTGGTCAAGCGATCATATGAAACTAATTCAAAGGCATCGAATCGCCGTGTATTTAATGCGTATGTTACCCTTATGGCGACAAGCGACAAACAACCCAGAAAAAACACCGAGCCGAAGCAGAAGGAGAAACATTTTTAATAAACATACGCGCTAATCAGCTTCGGTGTTTGCTTGTTCTATGGATGTAGATGTGCTTGTCGACAAACGATGATCAGGCGATTTGAATTGTACCGCATATTTGTTGTTATTCTCGTCTTTCTCATCAAACAACACACATCGAAGACATACGCAAATGCTTGCGATGCCGACATTGGGCTGGTGTCTGTGTGCCGTATGGATTTTTCAAGCTCCTTTTTTTTATTTCCTTTCGCTGTAACATTTCACTTTACGTGCTGATACACAAGCATGACTTAAATGTGATAAGAAATAACATCACACGAAAAATGCGACGGTTTTTTTTCACTTCTTTCCCTGAATCAAGAATTCTCTAGCCCAGTTGTTTGTCCCAACATATCAAGTGATGAAAAAATGTAATGAATTTCATATGCAAAATAGATTACTAGATATTGATCCAACACTGCAGATTTGAAAATCTCATTCACAAAACTCAGTTGTCCAAGAAAACATACTCCTGGCTGCGGAATGGAGACCATAACGAATCCATTGTTATCAATTCTACATTCAAAATAATATTGTTTACATCAATCAGATATGCACATGTGACCGCGAAAATGAATCACTGAATCACTAATAATAGACAAGTTCATTTCGTTTCATCACATATCAAAAGTATGTGATAGAAAAACTTTGAAAAAATAAACATTTGTGGTTGAAATTGTAAGGTCTAGTCAAGTTGCAGTCAATATTTTGTTTTTGTCGACGTTATTTTGATTAGCGCTTCAAAAAATGGAATGGGGAAGCAATTGTTGTTCAGAGTAAACAAAACAAAGTTTTGAAACAGTTATTCGCAATATCACCGCATAGCAAATACGAATACGAAATTAATTTGCAAAGTTAATCGTTTTTCAAACGTTTCACTCGTTTCGCGAGGAAAAGAAAACTTAATTTAGATTTCGAGTAAAAACTAAGAAAAATAAGTCTGTCACATTCTTTTTAGTTCGAAACTAAAAAAAGGACGGATAGTTTTTAAGCGTGTTGCTAAAAATATCAAGCAACCCCAAAGCAGTAGCCCAAAATCGGAGTTAGATACAACAGAGTATGGCAGGAAATATTTCAGATTTTATCTACGGCTGAAAGAGTGTCAAAAATAAATGAATCATCTGTATATCTACATGGTGTGGAGGGAGGAGAAAATCTTAAGTCATTGTTGAGTGCAAAAGAGAACGAGTTCAGGCGCATGGCAGTGTCGAAATTCTATTTTCGTTTTCCAAAACAAGTGGAGCCTCACTGAAGCAAACTTTCGAACAAATAAATCTCTAAATCTATATATATGTGTTACGTGTGCCAACAAAATAGCTGCCGCTCGATGATAGCTGATCTATTTGTTGTCTCTCCGAATATTTCTTTCTTGGCATATCTTCCATCGGTATATCAATTCGTCAAAAGGCCAATGTCTTCAATGGAATTATGCAATCGTTGGAAAACTATCGTTGCATTTTTTGACGTTGGAAAGTTTCTCGAAACTAATCAAATATTTTTTCAAGAAAAAATCAAAGAGAGAAGAGAACATTTTCAGCTGACAATCAGTTATTGTTGAATTATATTTAGAAATAAGTGAAATCGAATTGTTCATTGAGTAAGGTTAAGTATTTGTTATCATCCAATGTTTTGTTTTCCCTCGTCCAATGAAGCAAACAGTGTACGGCTCGAAAACTTTCCATTCAAAACGTGATGATGATAAAAAAATGCTCGAATCGTTATCAAAAAGGAAGAGGGAGAGAGAGAGAGAGAGAGTAATTATGATTGTTTTAGAATTCAGGATTGGCTGATGGTTATGGACAACGTTTATTGGTGCAGAAGTCAGAAATTCGCATTTTTCAATGGTGGTATGGTTAAAAAAATAGCCTAGCAGTGCACACCTCCTGCTTGAGCCATTCGTAAACAAGATACACACTCGCATTCCGTACGATCACGTACGGTATAGTTAAATTGTGTATATTTTCGATGACAGTAAATTTGTCGTGGGAAACAGCACAGATTTTCTCGTACGATATATGTGCGTATTTATCGGAAAGACCGATGCATGTGTGTAATATTTTACGCGACATCACACCACTCTCAATCCCTAGTGACGTTGTCACTAGGCCGGACGTAAAACTATTTACGAGGTATTCAGATCACTATCAAATGTAAATATTGTTTTTGCATGATTAAACAAACAAAACATTTCGAAAATACGCCGATTTCAATCGTGCGTCGCATGCAACTTCTACCCTTTTGATGATGCTTGAATGATGGAGATTTTTTCCTCACACGATAACCAAGCAACCAATCAGTCAATCGATTGAAAAAGTGTTTTGATCAAAACAACGCATAGCAAATCGAACAGAATTTTTTTTGTCTTCGAACGTTTCGAAACATTTGCTAAATATACTGAGTGCATTGACGGTGTGCCAAACCGTGGAAAATATACAGAAATTTTCGTAGAAGATGAAGAGAATTTGTGCGAAAAAGAGATCAGAGAAAAAAAAAATGGGTTTTTTTCTTCATGATGACTGTTTTTTTGTGCTATCGCAATAAATGGCGAAAGATTGTCTTTAAACGAGAAAAAATGCCTTTCTGTTTACTTGGAAACAAACTGCACATTCAGTATTGAATTAAATAATTATTAATTGATAACGATTTTATACACACGTGTTTTAATCACGTAAATGACATTGCCAGCAAAATCCATCACATCTCACACAAAAGAGGTAACTGCAAAGCAAAAAAAAATAATAAAAAAACCAAAACAAAAACTTTGGCCATGAATCACGTAAAATCATTACGTATATTTGATAAAATATCAACATTGATAAAAAATTGCACGTAAGTGAGTGAATATTATTTACGACGAATTCCGAGCATAAGAAACATTTCAGTCGGCTTGGTGTACGTTTGTAACGATAAATAAAGACGAGCCCAAAAAAAGGGCCAATAGCAACGTTTCGATACCATCGATGCGATTTTGTTGTTTTTGCTCTCAACTGATTTCGTCGCGTAAACATACGGCGCACAATGCCATCAAAAATAGCAACAGTGTGTGTTTTTACAACAGTAAGAATTTAGTTCGATGAATCTGTTTTTTTTATTTGCAAAGCCAACAATTTACGCATTGCATTCATTTTATGGGGCGCGCCAAAAACGTAATTTCACTGTATGCTCGTGAAAATTTGTTTACAAAAATACATGATGAAAACTATCAATCAAATTTCGTTATTAGCTACATTATTACTATTATTCCCATCCGTTTTTTCCTATTATTTTCCCATTGATAACATCAATTCACCGTTTTCAATGGATTAACAGTTAAAATTTGAAACGAACAAAAAAATCATTTCACCCGTTATCGATAATGTCATGAGTTTAAAAAATTGCATCATTCACGTATGTTGTTGAGATTGTAAGAAAAATCCCAGTTCATTGATTGAGTGAAATTCAAATTCATTCAAATTATTCTTTATTTTTCAATAATATGGTCAATATTTGCGTAAAAAGCGTCAAATTTTCAGTATCAGTTTGACGTATTAAAACGATTTAAATGATTCGGTTCAGATAAAATTTGATGTGAATTCATACAAACATTCACATACAAACTCAAACCAACACATTTTGTTGACCCCTGCATTATAGAACTAAATACACTAAACTTTCGAGTAAAGCTCAAAGCAGTGTCGAGCAACGACATCTGTTTGTGTGTTTACCAAACGTAAAATACGCTCTTTGTTTTCACTTTCACACTCGTCGCGTGCAAACATTGTTCCCACTGACATTTCATAACTAGAACATGTAGCAAACAGATGACGCAGTATGTGTATGCTTTATTATTGTCATTTCAACACAACACGCCGATTTCATGACATTACTATTCATTATTTCAATTACATGGATTTGATTGTTCGCTTTTTTTCGTTTTTCTGATGATTTAATATGTTTATTAATTTACATCATAAAAATAGAACGGTTTGTTGATGTATCGCTTCAATCACTATGAAATTGACGACTATGAGATTGGAAACATCGAGAGAAGTCTCGCACCGCCGCCACTACTATATCTTAGTTACAACTAATATTCGTCTATAGTTATACTTTATATATAGATATATATTGCTTTGCAATTCATTTTCTCTCGTTTTGTATGGGAATTAGATTTTGGTCCAGAAAAAATGAGGTCGCTGAACATGACCTGATTTCAGTAATTATACAATTTTTGGAATTTTTCTGTACCTTGTATAGATGGCGCTCCGAAAATCAGAAAAAGGCTCATTTGAAATACTTAATTACATTTGACATGCACAAAGAGCACTCCATCCTAGGAGTTCACTTTCAATAACTAAAACGAAAAAAAACTTTGAGCAAAAAATGAGACAAATAAAGTCACGAGCAAAACTCAGCATTGGACAGACAAGAAGTTTTTTGCATTTTTCTCGCGACTGGAAACAGAATGCGATTAGGTGTCTTCAGCAATACTGTAGAACATCAAAAGAACCACAAATATGCCGGAAACACCTAATCGATATCTCTTTCCAGTAGTGACACAAATGCAAAAACAAATTTTTTTCAGTTCAGTGTTGAGTTGTGTCACTTTTGCTCGGGGTTCTGGATTTGAGCCGCGACACTTACGGCCGCCAGTCAAATATCACTTATAGCCGCGCGACCCAAAGTGATTTATGGGAAAAACACTTATAGCCGCTGTTAAAAATTCCTTACGGCCGCCGCGGCTTTAAGTGCATTTCCCAAAAATCACTTTGGGCCGCAATGAAAATGCACTTACATCGCGCGCGCGCGCGCGCGCTCATTCGGTCCTCTGTGCTCTCCTCTCCACCTTTATTGGCACTAAGAATTTATTTTATTTCAAACTGTGAAAGAAAATTGCAAAAGGATGAAATGAGCGAACGGGAGTAAAGGTATATTTGTAAATGAAATTTGAATTACTAGATACACTTAAGCCGCACTGACAATGCACTTACGGCCGCGGCGGCTCAAAGTGATTATGGTGAAATGTACTTACGGCCGCACTCAAACGGGACTTTTGGACGCGGCGGCCGTAAGAACATTTTAGGCCGTAAGGGGACACTTATGGCCGCTATCAAAAATCACTTACAGCCGCAAATAAAAATGTACTGGCGGCCGTAAGTGTCGCGGCCCAAATCCAGGGAGCCTTTTGCTCGCAACTTTCTTTGTTTCTTTCTTGCTCAACGTTTATCCATCGCAGTTATTGAAACAGTTTTTATAAGTCTATCTCTTGCTTTCACCGTGTGATTTAAGTTTCTATGATTTTTCAATATGAGCGTCTACAGCGCCATCTAGATTTCCATAATAAACCTACTAACGAAAAGATCAAAATTGCAAATATGTCAAATTCCACATTTGTCTTTGGGAATGAAAAAATATATCCAGATGGCGTTGATTGAAGTCCAACGAAAAGAGAGAATTTGATTTTTTTTCTCAAATTTTTCATTCCATTTTCGGATGATTTTTCGAAATGACAAAAAGTATAAAAAAATATTTTAGTGCATTTCAAAAACATGGGGCGCCATCTATGTTTCCAAAAAGTTGTTTAGGAAAAGGTTCAAAGGGGTTTTACTAATAGTTCTCATAAAATCACTTATTCGATTTTGGTCACTCAGACGGACAGAACATTAGTTCCCAAAAAATATGCCCTTGAAATTACCCACATTCTAGTACTATCTAATCGCTATTTAATCGAATTAAATTTTATTTTGCCAAAAAGTGCGTTCAAGTGTATTCTCACCTTAGGTAGAAAACTTAGTCATAGATTTTAGTTTCATCATTAGCTCACCATAGCAATGCTTCCTGCGTGTACTTAATCTTGTACTTAGTTTGCATCAACAAAGTCTTCATTTCGAATGAAGTCAACAATTCTAATCATATTTGGTTGTAAAACATGTCATAATTATCAGAAAATCCAAATTAAAAATTTCCAACACATTTTCATTGCGATTCACATTGATTGTTTGTGTTGTTCGAGTTGAACGCAGTGTTGACTACGCACTAGTGCTGCTACTTGAAATAATTGACAGGTGTTCCGCCATTTTGTTTTTTTTCGTTTAAATATGTGACAAAAAGAGGTCGCTATCGTTTGAAGAGCTTTGGAGTTGGCATTAATTGTTGTCAAATGGATTTATCATATTATATATGTTTTGCATTCTAATCGAATCAACACACTTGTGTGAAAGTACAGAGAAAAAAATTGTCTCAAATTACGATTCATTTTTTTTTGTATCATTCAACCGTGAAAAAGAGCTCAATTTGAACGATGGGTGAAAACCGTTCGGAAATTTTGGCTGCAACTCAGAATGGTCAAGTGAAAAGTGTTGATATTGTGCAGGCGAAAAGAAAGAGAATGATGTTGGCTGAAGTATACGTGCATAAAAGTCGAAAAATGGACACGGATGCAAACAAAGACGATCACTTTGAAGTATTCCACATCTATGAGTTCGACGACAACGATTCGAATACGAAAATCACACCGAAACTGTCAACCAACTGCACGGAACCGCGAAAAATTATTGAAGTGCTGCAAAACTCAACTGGATCTGACACACCGCAGCTGCAACGATTGATTGAAAAGCTGTGCGCACAAAGTGAGTTTGGTTTGGTTTATTACCTTTTTATTTTATCCATTTCATAATCACCCGATTGATATTTGAATAATTCAATTTGAATTTTCGCAGATAAAAAATGGACGGAAAATCAGAAAAATAAATGCACCACATCAAATGTGGCCAATGGCACCAATGGTAATAAGACTACACAAGCTGGATCAATTGCTCAAGCGGTAACTCCTACGATTACTGTCGCATCCGCGATGCCAGCCACTCCTGCGTCATCACCGGTGATTCGGGTTAAAGCATTAGAAAGTATGAAGCAAACCAATCAAACAAATGCGGCAAATACACCGAAGATTGTAAACACTCCCATAGCAACGAAGCCAACAGCACCCGTACAAAGAGTGAGCCAACCAGCATCCGTTCACCGATTGCCGACATTGCGGCCAAGTGAAATCCCCAAAAACGGTGCTGAATCCGAAAGGCGGCCAATTGCCAGCAACAAAAAGACTTCCGACAACAACCCGGTTAAACTTTGGAACAATGTGATCCAGAAAAATAACACGGGAAAAGATCTCGACTATCTTGTGTTGGCAAACACAGAAGACACTGGTGCCGACGAGTCGGTCTTCTGCCTCAAGCCGACAAAAGAAGTGATCGAACATGCAACTGAAAATAGTTCATTGTTGAAAATTGACCAAGTGTATGAATGCGTTAGCGATGAATTTGTCGAGGATTTATTGGTGGAAAAGCGGCCGACATCAGCGAGCCCACTTTTGGATACGTTAGTCAAAGAGGTTGCGGATAACCACAATAAACCAGTTGCCATCAAGAATGGTGTACAAACCAAAAGAGCGGCCCTTCCTTTAACTTTCATCCCTTCCACTAACAACAAGTGCACTGACTTCCGATGCAACATTTGTTTGGACTTCAATGAAACATTTGAGGAGTTCAAGACGCACATGTTCCGTAAACATCAATACAACTTCCTTTGCGAGAAATGCCATGATGTATTCCGAACCCGGCAACTATTTGAACTTCATTTGAATGCAGCAACCAACGAATGTACCAACCCGGAAAATTCGAAACGTACGTTCATCTGCATCGTCGATCCACCGGTCATTCTGATGAAATCAAACAAAGTGTTCGCATTCAGATGCAAACATTGCAGCATCGCATTCCACAACCAAAGAAACTATGTCCAGCACGCCCAGCGCCATGCCAAACTGTTCCGCTGCAAACTTTGTCCACAAGCAAAAGCCATGCCAGCGAATGCAATGCAAAATCATTTGAACCAACATTAATGCATTAATAATCATAATTACCGGGACTGAGTTTTTTTTCTCATATCGATATTATTTATTGATCCATTCAGTAAAAACAAATATATAAAACATAAAACAATATAGAATTAAGTTATATAGTTTTTTTTAACTTCGAATTTTAAAAGAAGTCGACATTAATTTTTCATGCTTGTTCACCAATTGGCTTTATAATTAACTCGTGAACCTGAAAATAAATAAAAAAACATAAGAATTTTATTAAATTTGTGTGGTTTATTTTTGGAACATTTGAAGTTTACCTGAACATGAGGTTTTGTGGCGAGTGCATACATAACGGCTTGTGATACATCTTCAGGGTCCAAAAATGGAATGTTTTTTATAATTTCCATGATTTCTGGCTTAAAGATCTCCGTTCTCACAGCACCTGGCGAGATGCTCTATAAAAAATAAAATAAAATCGATTTGGTGAATTTTTTGTCATTACTTTTCAATAGTTGACACATATAAGCGAACATTTGAGTGAAATATTATGATATGTGGGTGTACGGTTCACCGCACCCAAAAAAAAAATTGAACGACTAACAAATGAATGTCGGCGCTTATGACATCATGCATTTTTTTTCCGCTTCATTTCGAAAGTCGCCGAAAAAAAGAGACACAAGACTGATGTATAATTGTAGGAAGTATTTTGTTGAACTTTTTTTACTTACAGTCACTTTGACTTTTGTGCCAAAATTCTGTAGCTCCTGTCTCATGACCTCGGTCAAAGCCGTCACAGCATATTTTGTCGATGGATAAATGTTAAACGATGGGTACAGTCCAACAAAGTATGGGATTTTATGGCCGGCACAGCTATTAATATGAATGATGTGTCCATCGAAATTGCGTTTTTGCATCGAATGAAAGGCTTCTCGCGAGCAAAGCACAACACCCAGAACATTTGTATCAATAGTTTCGCGTAAATTGTCTGTATTTTCCGGATCGAGTAGATTCATTGTTTTAATGATGCCGGCGTTGTTGATTAAAATGTCAGTACCTCCCAAATTGGCTTCGACCCAATTGAATGCATTCTTAATGTCAGACTCTTGAGTCAAATCACATTTGATCGCATATAGTGTACCAGTGGCCGAAGCTGGTAAATTATCTCTTAACGCATCAATGCGTTCTTTACGTCGAGCCAAACCAACCACATTCACTCCAGCCTTCACTAAATCGATTACAATCGCAGCTCCTATTCCAGAACTAGCTCCAGTTACGACAGCTGTCTTCCCAATCCAACGATCCATTGTCCACGATTTCACTCTTCCTTTTAAACCAAAAATCACCAATCTTCTATTTTGTTCAAGAAATTTTCACAGATTGAATCACGCTCAAGTGACGCTTATGACCATACTGACTTGGCGAATCAAATGGTAGGTATACCTTTATAGTCGAACGCACAAAGTGTAGTCATCGCATACAGCGCATGAGTTAGCCAGTTTTACATTTTTGTTTTGTACGTCTGCTTTCATTCGCTCATTCGCATCTTTCTTTTATTCATTCTTTCTCCTTCTGTTTTAATATCGTTTCTTTAGATCCATTGCTTATTTTGTACATCACGTACATTCACAGTTCATCGGATTCAAACACGACTGCTTATTTGTTTTTTTCTTCCTCTTCGATCAATGTAATCAGCTCTTGTTGTGTGTAGTTTTCGCAATGAATGCATTTCTTGGAATTGTTTTCAGTGAAAGATAAAAAACAACAAATTGAAAAGTGTCTAATTTCTTTACGTGTACATGCATGCTATGCTATCAAAAGTAGTTTTATTTCTGGTTTGCAATCCACTCGCCACATGAATATTTCGTTCGCATGAGCGGACATTCAAACGCAAAGAATTGATACGTATGCGGTACTTTGATTCGAATTGAATCACAAACAAATGTCCAGTAAACCGATGTCACAAAGATAGAAATAGACCATTTTTGATGGCAATCAGATTGAAATGAACAGTTAAACTTACTTTCAATACGTAATAAATGAAAAGATATTGCAAAAACGAGATGATATTTATTTTTGTTGCAATCTTTTACTGAATTTTTTTAAAATTTGTGTCGTGTACGATGAAAACATTATGGTCTCCTTGTTCGGAGTCTGTCAAATCTTCGATATAATTTATATGCGCATATTTTCAAGACTGAAGAATTGAAGATCGAATGATTTTCCATGTGTTCACACGTACAGAGAGTGATACTTTCGAACTTTGATCTGATTTGTGATTTATTGGATAACTTTCACTCATCTTTCTTTCTTCATGTACATCAAATTTTATTAATTACAGACTGTAAATGATTTTAGAGCCGATTCGGCTAACTGTATTCTTTATTCATTGGCTTGGCTTATGTACATAATTGTAGTTATTGTTTAGTTCCCATATCATAATCTCATTGCTCCATGGTTGCTTGCGTGTTCTGCGGCTCGTCTTCGCCGCCTTTTGAAAATCGTTGCAATTTTTGGATACGTCTAGCTAAAATATTGCCTTGTTTCGCCACTCCACCATCTTCCAGGTCAACTTTATGGTAGAAAATTTCACCGTTGATCAAGAGACGGTCTGTTATTTTGAGGTGATTTCTAACAAATTCTCGCAAGTGTTCATCAAATATCAGCACCCTGTGCCAGTCACCATGGAAGAATTTTGTATTCAAATTCGGCCTAAAGGTAAAACATAACATTGTATTTATTTATATGGAATTGGATTTATATTTTTGAACATACGTCAGTTCAGCATTTGTAACGACATGGAATACGGTGGCATTTTCATCTAAAATATTACTTCCAATTGTGCCCAATAACTTCACTTCATTGACACACTCTGAAAATTCAAAAACCGTACAGTTTCTGTTAGTTTATGTTTGCATTTCATTCTGTGAGGTTGATCAATCGTCAGTCAAAATTTATATAAAATACACTTGATTATACCTTTTACCAATTGCTCTAAGTCATCAGATTTGTTGTCGTTTTCCATGTGCACAATTTTTTTTGCTAAAATGTGCGGAACCGATATAAATTTCTCTCCATTTGGCTCGTTTTCATAGACAATTTCACCGTTAACATAAACAAGGTCGTTGTCAGTTAGTTTTGGTACTTCGATCGAATCATTTCTCGCCTTGATATTGTGCAATACACTGCAATATTTACAGTTATTATTGATAACTATTTGATTTCAATTTTGTTATTATTATCCTTCTAACGTGAGAACAAAATTTTCAGGTTTTACCCAATCAAGTTTCCAAGGCCTTTTGTAGCTGTTCGGATGTGGAACGAATCAAATCCATTTTGTAATCTTAGCACTTCGTTCTTCACTCTACCAATTAGCTTTATTTGATTGCCGGCTAAAATGGGAATGCAAAAGAGTATTGTATTTTCAAAACTGTTTCATAATACGTATTAAACATCGTACACTTTCTACTGGCGACCGACTCTGAATTCTGCACGCAAAAGGATCTGGATGGCACGACCGGAATGGATCGTGGAATTACAAACCATTTATAAGTGAGACGAAACATTTTCACAGAAAAATTAATTCTTGTTAAAAAATTTCTCAACAAAACCAAGAGAAAGCAAAAAAATGTCAATACAAATATTAACATGTGAGAGTACAGCTGTCAAAACGCCGACTGAAGAAACGTACCCCAATATGCATGTGATATTTGTCTAAGAAAATTATAAGCATTTAAATGGTTTTGTTTTGATATTCAGTTGAACAATTTTCCCGTTAGCGAAAGCATTTTATTATAACATTAAACCGCAAAGCAAAAATTATTCAATGATTAGCTCACGAACCTCCAAACGAAAAATTTCTTTACACCTTTTTTGTCAATTTTCACTTTCACAATAATTTACCTGAGGACTTGTGGCGAGTGCAATGATTAGAGTTTGTGAAATGTCTTCCAATATCTAATAATGGATGTTTTCCATTAGGTCTACGATTTCTGGCTTGATAATCTCTGTTTTCAGCCCCTGCTCTATGAAAATTGTACGAGATATTTATCATACCTGTATCGATAATGCATAGACAATAAAACATTTTTTCGATCAATTAAACACCAAATGTTCAAGATTCAAAATCAATTTATTGCCAGAGTACAATATCCAAATTACAATAATTTTAAATTCTAATCTATTTTGTCACAAATCTAAATATCAATATTGATTAGATTTTTGTGTGTGAAAAGATTTTGTGTGTGTGTGTGTGTGTTCGTATCTACTTGCATTTCTTAGTATGATGAATGGATGAATGATTGGTTGGTTGGTTGGATTTAAGAATAGAAAAGATTGAAACGGTAACCAAAAAATGAAATAAATTGAAACTTAATCTTACGGTTATATGAAAAAAAAATGGCTCAAATATAGTGGTTAATTTCAGTAAAACGAAATTGTGCCTTAAATTGAATTGATTCCTCAAATAGTTAAAAAAATCGATAAATACATACAATAAATAGAGGAATAAAAAATAATATGACCGACGTTAGTTTCATAGAAATTTTTTATGGTACTTTGTTTTCTACACATACAAAAGTTGCAAACAAATCACGATTTTGTGTTCCTTGGGTTTTACTTTTTTTTAAGTTGCTTATTTAGTATAGTAATAATTTAATAAGTAGGTCTAGATTCTTCACTTTTCTGATTTCAATATAGAAAACTCTACAAACAAAACAATATGCCTCACTGTAAATGTGTGATCCTTACTTAGAAAAAAAAAAAAACAAAGAAAAATGTGCACAGATTTGCTTAGTACATATATTCAAAGATGAGTTTCTAATGCGTTAATGTGCTCGTTTATCGAAAGTGTGTGTGTGTGTGTGTGTTTTTGCACTGATAGAAACGTGACTTGAGATGAGATGAAATGAGTACGAGTAGCACTTTGTACAACATAAATTTGATGTATTGAGGAAAAAAAATTATCTCTCCTTCTATAATAAAATACTTGATGGCATAGTTTCCATCGTGCTTATCTAAATACGACAACCAAGAAAAACATAAAATTTTAATGTCTCTAATGTAAAATAGACGCGTATTTCGAAAATGGCCCTTTTTTGAAATGTCTATCTAATGATGTTCATTCGAAAAATTGTGTGTGTTTGTGTGTTTAATACAAATGAATTGTTTGTTGTCTACTCTACTGAAATTCATCAATTTGCCCATAAAACCTTATCGATTGGCATTTTTTTTTATATCACACTTGCTTAATACTTTTGATGTGACTAATTCAAATTAAAAGAGCAATTGCGCAAAAAACATTTCTTTCTTTTCTTCAATTTGTAATACTGTGTGTCGGAAAAAAGTGTCTACTAGTTTTTCTAAGTAAACGTTTCATTTCGAAAAAAAATGCAGTCATTTGGTTTTGTTAATTCGTATTTCCAATTCGGGTGAACATTCGCGTTAAGAAAGAGTTCTCCCATACACATTTTTCTTTCGCTTTCTAATTGAATTTGTGTGAATATGATTTCAAACAAACGGAATAAAATATATTGGAAAATGTAAACATTGTCCGTGTATGCCGTATTTCTGTTGTATGTGTGTCGATTTATGCTCTTAGGCCAGTATCCAGTTTGGTCAATCGATTTTTATTGTTCGATGGAATAATGTTTAGTTTTCTTCCAAAAACTCTTGAAAAATCCCTTCTTCTTGTGTGTATTCGGTGTTTCCATTGCGCCTAAAACATGAATTTTGCCATTAAAACTCGAACCAAATATATCGCCAATATTTCACGAAACGTTTCGCCCAATATAAAAATGCATAAAAATATTTACCTGCATCAAAAGATCGATGAGCGGATGGAATTTGAGCGTTCCTGTCCTTTTTATCTTCTTTTGCTTTTTCGCCTTTGCGAATGAGTAAACTAGTAACTCGTCGCAAAGCATCAGTTGGTGATTTCTTAAAGAAGTTTGGTGACAAATTTGGCGGCAACGTTAGAGGTTTTCGACTAGATGTGCCCACGTCCCAAGCACGGCCACCGCAATGAATACGATCCAAATTTTCATTTGAAACGGGCCGATTTTGCCGTTGCTTTGGATACCATCCACGAGCCGGTCCACCAGCTATTCGCAACATTTCACTACTTAATAACGCATGGTTTATATTTCGTTGTGGATGTCGACCATTCAGCGTGCTTCCGGCTGTTGAATCGAAAGAAAATCATTAGCAATGTTCTGCGAACACTTTGCATCTGAAGTGCAACCTTACCTATTCCAACGATTGATGAATTCAAACTGTTCATAGGCCTAGGTGCTGTTCGACTGCCACCACTACACGCGGGCGTCTCTTGTGTTCGTCGATGTGGCGTTCGGGGTACATCACACCTAGAAATTTGAAGATAAATATTAAATGATTCTGTGTAAATGTGCGAACTGTGATGCTCTCACTTACCCCCTAGCAAAAATGGGAGTTTCTGGAAGACTACATGATGTTTGAAGACGACGTTCTTCATGCGGACTTGGCGTTGTATGTTTGATGTATGCGCCGGGCATACGTTTCCTGGAATTCGATAACGCCATTCGATCATGCGAATGTGTTGAGTGTGTGGTGTGTGGCGACATGTAAACGTTCGAACTTTTGTAGCATTTTGAGTCCATTGACCTACAATGAAATAGACCATTTGTTATATATTTCCCAGAATCGATTACGTGAAATTGAAACATACATGGTTTTAAGCGTATTATCTGCTGAAGGACAACGATGAGGTGGAACAGGAGGCGCATCTGCCGAATATCGATTCTCGTACTTTTTACCTAATGAAGTCGATCGATAACTGTGCGAATCGAGCCAAATTTTGTTTTCGTATACATCAGCGTTGCTTTCCGTTGGCAATGGTGGCAATGGGGGTAAACCGTCAATCTCCTGTTGCCAAAGTAGATCATGTTAAACACCATACATGGGGCAAAAAACAATATGAAAAGAGAATTGAACTTTGGAAATACATACATCCGCACTAGAAGATGGTGGTGAGGGTGGCAAAGCACCGAACACGTGTTGTGAGAGCAGCATTTCTTTGGCGCTTTCCGATTTATGCACACCGACCCGGAAGCCGAGTGGACGTCTCGGTGGTTGAATATCTATCAAAGTTAAAACACACTCTTGAGACTGTCATTCAATTTCAAATTGATACACGCTTATACGTTACCTGGTACTCGCACAGCAATAGGTATATCTCCCCGAAGCAAAGCGCTAATGGTGTTCTCTATCTGACGAAGCGGAGCACCTTGTCCTTGCGATTCACTGTCTGGTTCTTCATCTTCTTCAATCGGCGGAGCCAAGTCTCGACGTGGCGTAGACACCAAATCAGCTACAGCCATTAAAAGAAAATCAATCTGTCAAAATCTGTTTCTTAAGGATTGAATTATATTCGAATTGATTTACCTTGATTGGGTGGTGGTGGAGCATTAATTATTGGTAGCGAAGCAACACGCATAAGTGGTGCATTCAAATCATCATTCACATCAATTTTATTCGATGAACCACCTTTGTTCACCTTCAAGTAATCCTGTTTTGATGGTGTTAAGCTGCTTGCATGCGTCAATTTGCCGTCATTTGGCTTTGACCAAAACGAACTGTAATCCGAATGTCTGAAATGATATAATGGCGTGTTAAGTGACCGCAAGTAATGTCAAGAGGTATTATATGCAACATACTTTGCGGAATGAATTGAGCTCTGCATCGATGGTAATGCCAAATCGATGCTGTGTCGGTACTTTGGTATGTTTATCGGTGGCTGCGGTATATCATTGGCCTCCTCAATGCTCAGTAATTCTTGGCTTGATTCCAACATTGATTCCAGTTCGGACTCTTTCCCCGCTTCATGCGATGGCACAAACTCCGGTATATCAAACACTTGTTTACGGTCGCGTCCCTTGCGAATCACATACGTACCGTTTGGAATGATGGTTTTTTGCATTGGGATTACATCTTCTGCAATGGAAAATATTTTCCATAAAAATGAATTTATGTCAAACAATATTCGATTTCATTAAAGTGCTCATGTCAGCACAAGAAAAAGGAGACAAGTCATTACCCGAATCAGTGATGATCGAACCGGCTTCATCTTCTGTGCTGCAAATTGGGTTTTCGGGTGGGTCAGGCCAATCGGATGAATACGAATGGTCTGTACTTAAAATACTATTGCACGGAGTTGACGCCACACTGTTCTCACAGTCGGCAAAATTCGGCGGAATCGCAAGTATTGCCGGTAACTGCAAATGGAAAGTCGTTTGAAATTAGTCACACGGAAATCATTCCCTTTCAATTAGATACAAACCTTCATGTTTATATCGTTTGCTATATTGTCATCCATTTTAATTTCCCATGCGATTCCTGGGCTGCATTTCAAGGGTAACGTTAATGCTGGCATTTGTGGTGGCTCAGGTGATGGCGGTGATGGCGGCGATAACTCGCTTTGTTCTTCTTCTTCTTCTTCTACTTCTTCTCTACCTGCAACTTCTTTACTCTCTAGTTTGATTTCGATGATTTGTGTAGATGTATCACGTTCGGGTGTTTCATTCGCGTTTGCACTCGCATTCTCAAGGGAATCATCCGAGAAGTCCTCCTCGGATGTAATTAAACTATGACGATTATCGAAATTGGACAAACTAACCGTTTGCATCAATGGCTTGAAGTCTTCTGAAATTTGCCGTAAAAATGGTTTTAATTGAATTGCACGAAAAAAAAGTCGAGCTCAAAAAATGTCAACCAACCTGATGCGCTATCAGCTTGTGTGATTGCTCCTTCTTCTTCGTCTTCATCGCCATCCGAAGATTCGTCATTCAAATGCAATTTCAACTTTTTGTCCGTCAAATCGTGAGCGGAACGAACTACTTTTCGCGTTGATACCGATTTTGATTTAACTGGCGATGCTCGGCCGGGATAAATGGTGACTGGATGTTCTTTTTCCATTGTTTCTGGTATGAATTGGCAATTGGTGGCAACGCCACGTAATACCGCATCATGAACAGCGCTGATGTCAATACCGAGCTTGGTTCGACCGTTCCTCATTAGGAAATCAAAATCATTGCTTTTCTCTGTTTTCTTTGATTGCGTTGAGCCTGGAAGACTGGCGTATTTGGATGGATTCACATTTAATGGACGAGCTTTGGGCAGTGTCGTTTGACACGGAAGTGAATCCGAGTCATTGATACTGCCCGCAGAATCATTTCGTAGTTTTGCATCAACAATGGATCGTTTATTCTTCAAATTGTTGTCACTTTCTATATCAAGCAATTTTAATTCTCTGTTTTGAAGGGAAAAAATTTCAAATGGAAAATCAGAGTTGAATAAACCAAATTTGAGCGACGAAAAAAAAACCATTGAACAACTGAAAAAGTTTATGTTCATTATCTGAGCTGAAATTTATATAAAAGAAATTCACCACTCACTTTTTTCCATTCATACTCATGTATCCATCATCTTCGGATTGATTGCCTTGTGTCGGCGTTTCCGGTTCATGTTGTTCGATGTGCGGCAAAGAGTCCGGATCTTCAAACTCCGACAACACTTTGTCCAAAAACTCAATTGATCGCTCGACTTCGTCACCACTGTTAATACAACAAATTTTTGAAAATTAAATTAATGTTATTATCACTGATTCTGCTCATTTTGATTTTCTTCTCAGACACTTACTCGGGTTGCTTCAGATGAAACGGTTTCAAACTAGATTCAGACATAATTGTGATTGTTGCCAGAATAACCAACCATATATCGAGCAATCTGTATTCGGCGGTGGAAGAAAATAATTTGAATAAATATTTGCAAATAAATAAAAATCACAGTCGAAAACATTTACCCTGAATCAAGACGACTGAAAAAATGCTAAGAACTCAGGTTCTTTCATTTGATTACAAGATTTCACATTGCTTTAGAATCGATACTGCGTAGTTGATTGAATCCTCGTTCCAGTTGATTTCTCCCACTCGATTTCAACAAATTCTGTAAAATGTATAAACAAAGCAAACACAATAATTTTTATTGCAAGAATTGAGTCAGTACCGCGTCAGTCGGTCGGTGAATCACGTAATTTTAGAATTACGTAAACTAACTTCGTGACAACCAAAACTGGATTCCTATCTTGTTTCACTATTGCCTTTTTCTATCGATGAATATCATGCTTATCAACTGAATCGCTCAAGCTCCCGGGCGAAACCGTTATCATTTATTAATTAAAATTGAATTCAGAATGTTCTATTAGAGACACAGAAGACACATACTGCTGTCTTTTGCCTGTCGAATAATAGCGGCAATGAATGGGGAGATTATGATTCCTTGGAGTTTATTCAACTGTATTTAAAAAAGAACTCTCGAAACGAAGGGTTAATTCATGATACACACAGCCTATTTGAATATCACACACTCGAACGCGTATTGTTTCGTATGTTTCATTCATTGAAAACTTTTCTATTCTCCACTTTATTATTGTACATCACTCTATCATACACACACACACATCGTATGTGATACATCGGTGTATGCGATATATTGGCATTTATCGAATAAACCCGGAATATAAAATTAGAGCTTTCTAAATCAATAAAAAGGTGATGACGAAAAAAGAGTTTCAAACGTTTTGGAACTGTTCATCCGGCCCACGGAATATTGATTCCACGGAAATGGTTGGAGGTGAATGGAGGAAAAATAATCAAATGATGATTGTTACACCGTACAAAAAAGGGAACTGCACGTATCGCGTCCATCATAGCGCATGAAAAAAAAACGGAATAAAAAACCGAGAGCGAAAGCAAACACCAAAAAAAACAGAAAGCACAATGCGAGAAAAAAGTTTTATCTGGGCGAATACCTGCACTTCTTATGTGATATTTGATGTTAGAACAGAAAGACAATTAAATATTAAAGCGAATTAACACTGTCTATTTATAGCTGTGCATATGAAACGTTACGAGGTGAGCATTTGGTAACGAAAAGCGTTTGTTTTTTTTTCTATCTCGTTTGCTGTGTCGTTTTCCATTTCGGTGTGTCTATAGCCTATATATCTTAACATATTGTAACGCGCAGCGTATAGATACAGTTGCGTGTGTTTCGCAATTCTTGGCTCACACTGTCACTTAATTTTGCCGAGAGTGAAGACATGCGGCAGTAGTAGCAGCAGCATCGGCTACAGACTGAGCGCAGGGAGAGTAGAGAGCAGAAAATGAAATATGTTTTTTCTTTTGTTGAAAATCAAATTTCGTCTGTTGAATTTTGGTGAACGGTTTCGGTCAATTGATTTATTGACGATGAAAATAATTGCCCAGAAAAATACCACCTTCTTTGAATGAGTGGAAAAAATGCTATTTTGCGTGCGGATTGTATTCTGGAATCGATTTTAGTGTAGCGCTTATTACTATATTCCCAACGACTCCCGCACGTAAACACACGCACACACACACACATGCACAGCATTATTTTCCATGCACGTAGTTGCTCACGAAAGTCTGGATTTTCCTACACTCAAAGTACAAAGACCCAAGTAAATACTAACACACACTGGCTAGTCACACTGTTACACTTGTGTGTACATGTTTGGTGGCAGCAGCACGTAAATGCACTCAAGACCAAAAAGTCTCTATCCAAAAATCAATGTAACCGAATCAAAGAGGCGTCATGAAAACAGAAATCTTTATGCAAATGAGCTGGAGAGCCACTCATAAAAAAAAGAATACATGGATATTTTATATGAAACAATCTGTCACAAAGGCAACTAGGATAATAAATTGAACGCAACGCACCGTATATATAAATGAATGGTTGTATTCGTTGTTGGTCGAAATGATTCTTCTTTTATTTTATTTTTTCTGTTTCACTGTCGCCAAAGAGCCGGAAACAAAATCGAGCTAATTTCACACTGTCACTTCTAATTCAAGCATAGACACAAGGCTCGATGAACATCAAGCTAAGCATCCGCTAAATTGTCATTATCTTGCCGCAATCATTAACACAGTTCTTTCTCCTTCTTCTCTGCTTTATTTTGCACTTCTTACGACACCTCAACCAACAGTCTCATAAACAAAATCTAATTCACACTTTACACACGAAACATGAGCTGCGAATAGGCATAACACAGTATTCCGACGCACTATTGTCTCCCACAGTCAATTTCAACATTTATGTGGAACAATGATTTTTTCTCTGGTCGGCTTGTTTCGAAAGGAAAAAATAACGAAAATGTGAACAAATCGACACAATTCCACAAATGAATCGCACACACATTAAATTTAATCAAAATTTCCGCCACCGTAACAATTTATCGATCGTCATTTTGGAGTTTGTAAAAGAAACTTATTGGAAGTTGTCATTGTCGTCCGAAGCGAATTTTGTTTTGTTTTTTAAAGCGCATATTATGTTCTTCTATTTCTCTCTTTCTCTTCTTCTCTTTTGTTCTATGTACTCCGCCGACGAACAACAGTATGTGTGTACTATACATGATTTGAGTGTGTGACATTTGAGCGGGTACGTTCAGCCAACCGAACTGAAGGTTATACTGTACCCAGACAGCACCTTATTACAACGCAAATACATTGACTTAACAGTTATTCCCACATATGCCGTTATTTCGTTTTTTCCGCGATATGCAACGGCAGAATTAATTCAGAATCTATAAATGTTATCTTTATGATGGATCCGAAGCAAATTTGAATGCATTCAGAGCACAAATATCACCCACTGTTTCGCAGACGAGATAATGTATTCAAACATTTGTTGACGAAATGCCTTCGTCTCGGTGACGGATTGGACTTTTGACTCTTTTCCACGAATACGACAAGCAGAATCTTCGCATATGAATTTATCTTCTACGTAAGCGAATGATATTTATGGTATTAAGAACACGTGATGCCTACGAATTGCGTGAATTCGGTGTAACCAATCTCAGCGAAGCGAGAGAGATAATAAGTCAAAGCCGTTGTGTCCGTTGGATGTGTGCCAATGCTTTTCTTATAAGTCAATGCTAACGCACGAATAGTGTACCAACGAAATATTTCAATTTGACTTTGTGTTCTATAAAACTTAACATTGACAGTAAATTGTTTGTTAATCGAATTTGCGTGATAAAAATACATTGCATAGTATGCATTGCATACACAACCACTTGCTATCAATGGCTCTCACCTCATTGACACCGATGATTTTCATGACAAATTGATCAACAGCTTGCATCAATGCATTACCGCTGACATTTTTTTTTTTTTTATTTTGACAATATTTTGTATGTTTTTGCTTGAACACCGTACATTCACGTACTATGAGATTTGGCTATGGAGAAAGGTTTGATTTAGATGGAAGTAATTGAAATAATCATGAAAACAGATGCCATGAATTAATTAGCGGTTGCTTCTGTTACTTATATCATCGCCAAAAATTTGTAGCCTAGTTTTCATGAAAAACTCTTTTGAAAAATTGTTAGGTAATCACTCAAATTTTGTTTGTTGTTCAAACATATTTGAATATACATCTTGCGCTACCGTACGGCAACGTTAACTTCAGCTAAAACTTTAAATATATTTATTTATAATATTTACCCACAAAAAGTCGATAATATGGAATAGTTTTTAAAATATCGATTGTAAAAATCGTATTGTCGGAAAATACCCTCGATTCAAATCATATGACGGCCAGTGGCTTTGACTACGGCTTCGATTATCCAATAGAGCATTGAGGATAAGGTCGAGCGTGGCACATATGTGTGTTATTTCGGTAATCGGAAGCTTGAGAGAGCATTTTCTTTCGCCAAAATAATTTTCAATGCACGATACGATGCGATGCGGTGGTTGTTTTGTTTTTATTTTTGCTTTTTTTCATCTCTTTATTTTAGTTTTGTCGAATTGTTGGCACTAATGTCAACCGAATACAATCAGAATCGAGTTTAGATTCTTTTTTTTCGTATGCGTTCAGTGGCGTTTTGTTCCGTGAATGATAAAAAAAAACGCTATAGCCATGCGAATATATGATGTACACAGTATGAAGTGTTTTGGGAATGTGTGCGTGCACGTGTATGTATATGAACTTAGAATGGTTGTGAGCGCGCGTAGACTTTGACACCAGCCGATGTTTCGGCGAATTGGTTTCAAATACCGACGATGTAAAGTGATTTTGACAAGAGCACATCGACGAAGCAAGCCGAACTGCTGATGTGTGCGTGCATCAGTTGGTGACGGTACTTGATGTGACGCAGCCAACTAAACGCACACATTCACAGCGCAGCTCACGAGCACAGCGAAAAGCCAACGAGTAAAAAGTTCTTGCTTCAATCAGCTAAAATACCAGTTCTGCTCTTCACTTTCCGCACAACGGTGGTTCAGTGAACACACTATTCGATCCAACGTATAACATTCAATAGGCTTACGCCCTAGTGTATTTATCAACCCGATTTGACCGAAGAATCAACAAAAAACAGGTATTTATTTGCAGCATTCATTCATTAATTCGATTTGTTTCTCTTTAGTAAATTCGTTTTATTTGAATGCAATTTGAACGGGAAAAAAATTATTCTGTAGTTTTTAATTGTAAGCTAGTGTGTCACACAGTCACACGTACGACCACATTCAGTCGTCGAATGAAAAGAAGAAGAAGAAAGAAAAAAAAATTACCGTTTACCGAACGAATTTATTGAAAAGAGGTGCATGTTAATAATATTAAAAAGTGCGTTTTGGATGAATAATAATATTGAATCAATCATTACAATTGAAAAAAGAGAGTCGTTTGAACGAAAAGTGGTTATGTAACAAGACAATGTGAGCGAAAAGCCTGGTGATGAACGCCGCCATTACAGTTCCTTGAACAAGTTGATGAAGAGAGAAAAAAAATCAATTCTATTTGACGAGAATTAATTTCACTGGATTAAGTGACACATTGGCAATGCTTGTCATGTGAATAATGAATGCTAAATTTGCTTACGTAAGACATTTTTCGGACGGTTCAATCGGATGAAAATCAGTTTTTCCCCTCGTTGAAAATTTAACAAGAAAATGTGTTCGATTGCGGTTATTGAATTGAGATATCATTCAAGAATTTCAATTATTGCCTTCCGCTGATATAAATTTAATCATATTCATTATCGCGAGAACACTGATTCGGTTGGCAATTGGCGCGTTGTACGTACAATATATTAAAATTAGGTTTTTGTGTCGCTGTAAAAGTGATTCACTCACACACATGGCGCATTTTTATAGGTTACGACATATGCACGGGACTTGGCTTGTGAATCAATAAGAACAATTTAGTTCACACTAAAGCAATGACATTGGTCACATTATATAACTAGATATATTTGGTTCAGTACACCTTCAAAGTGATTTTCACTTTGAAAACATTTAATTCAATTAGATTTGCGATATTCTTTCTTTTTCGCATGTACAACAAGCATATCATATTCAAGCCCTGGCGAAAAGTTGAATAAAAATGGGATGACGTACACGTGAAATTGGCAATATGGCGCCCGGCATTGAGAAATGTGAACTGTGAGGAAAATAAAAATGGAACGTTGCGCTAGTGATTTTTTGATTGAAAAATTATGACTGAAATTTCATATAGAATCATTAATTTTTTCTAACAATTTCATTGCCAAAGTCAATTAACTGAGTGAAATGCTTAGTTGAGAATTTTCAAAAATGGAATTTCTTATATAAGTCGATATAAAGGCCATTGTGTTTGCTAGTATGCGTATTGATCTCACTCATACACACTAAAAACACACACACGTGCCGTCCCGTCCGTTCTATAGCGCTCTGTTCACACATTTATTGTACTAGACTGTTCGTGCTTTCGTCATAGTTCCATTCGCTTGATTTTTGATTTGCCAATGATAAATTCCGAACATTCAAAATTCTCTTTACGTTAATGATGTCTGAATAATTTCGGCATTAGCAGAAAGAGAAAAAGTGAAAGAATCAAATCGCATCTTATCTGGGAACATACGAAAAGAATGTTGACTTTCTTTTTGAAAATTATGACTGTACCACGTGCCCAATTGCACGTCATAGGTTACAATTTTTTTTTCTTCTCCTTTACACTCAAAGTGTTATATAACGAACTCTGGAACGAAAACTACGCAAATAATAATGAACATCGTAATTAATATAGTTTGTTTTCCTCTAACGGTTCACGAAATCAAATCATAGTAGTCAGCAAATGTGGCATTTTTCTTATCAATTTATTTTTTCAATTTATTATACACTTTCAAGGCGCAATGACAAAACTAAGCGACATCATTTCAACGTTGCCTAGGTTTTGAAATCGGTTTCCTTTGATCGAGTGATGCAAATTTGATTTGCCATGATTTTGATCTATGAAGATTTTTCCAAAGTCAATAGTCAAAGACAATAGTCTTTCGAATCAGACTGCAAAAATCATTGAACGTATTTTCAATGGAGCCTATGTTTTGTAGGCTTACGTATGCAACTGATATTGCAATATTCAGTTCAATAAATCAGTTGTCGCAGCATTCAACGAATGCCATATTTTTTGCTTTATCATTCATAAAAAACAATATCTACTTGTATATATGATACAGTCTGTCCGCTGCCGCTTATTATATGTCGTATAATTTTTGTGGTACGCAATAGTCGCTGCATTGACTGCGTGTTCAATTTCGCTGCATACGTTTTCAGTAAGCTGATTTCACAGTCGTAATAATTATATATGGATATAAAAGTAGTTTGGCTTTAATGGCGGATCCATCACGTGCATTGTATTTGTTCGTATTAAACTCTTCTCTTTTCGGCGAAATGGAGCCATATTTGATTTAGAATAAATAGAATATAAAAAATTATAGCGATCGTAAAACCGATTTTGTCGTTTTAAATATTAAATTTAGCAAGAGATCGTATTTATTTAAAACAATTTTGTTTATTTTTTTCGTAAAACAGCTAAAATGGGATTTGACGTAACCGCTTTCCTTAAGGATTTTGCCGCCGGAGGTATCTCCGCCGCTGTCTCAAAGACAGCCGTAGCTCCAATTGAACGTGTCAAGTTGCTTTTGCAAGTTCAAGCCATCTCAAAGCAAATCAAAGCTGACCAACAATACAAAGGTGAAATTTCGATTTGACAACAAAAACAACAACATTCGTTTGCACAAACATCGAACGAGAAATAACAATGATTGGTTTTTTTTTTGTGGTTGCATAGGTATCGTTGATTGCTTCGTTCGTATTCCAAAGGAACAAGGTTTCACCGCTTTCTGGCGTGGTAACTTGGCCAATGTCATCAGATATTTCCCAACACAAGCTTTGAACTTTGCCTTCAAGGACAAGTACAAGCAAATCTTCTTGGGTGGTGTTGATAAAAATACTCAATTCGGACGTTACTTCGTTGGTAACTTGGCTTCGGGTGGTGCTGCTGGTGCCACATCGTTGTGCTTTGTCTACCCATTGGATTTCGCACGTACCCGTTTGGCTGCTGATGTCGGCAAAGGTGGTGCCCGTGAATTCACAGGTCTTGGAAACTGCTTGACCAAAACCTTTAAGTCCGATGGTCTTGGCGGTTTGTACCGTGGTTTCGGTGTATCAGTACAAGGTAAGGATCGTAGCATCAAATGACAAATTCCGATTCAAATTGTTTAACACCGTTTCTTCATTTCTATTTGCCACAAATCAGGTATCATTATCTATCGTGCCGCTTACTTTGGTTTCTACGATACTGCTCGTGGTATGTTGCCAGATCCAAAGAACACACCAATCTACATCTCGTGGGCCATCGCTCAAGTCGTGACAACTGTTGCTGGTATCGTGTCATATCCATTCGACACAGTCCGTCGTCGTATGATGATGCAATCGGGTCGCAAGGCCACCGAAATCATCTACAAGAGCACCATCCACTGCTGGAGCACAATTGCCAAACAAGAAGGAAGCGGTGCCTTCTTCAAGGGTGCATTCTCAAATGTCCTCCGTGGTACTGGCGGCGCTTTCGTGCTTGTGTTGTACGATGAAATCAAGAAGTTGTTGTAAATTTATTTTTAAAACTTAAATTTAAAACACGATAAATACACTAAAAAAAATAAAAAAAAAATCGTTAAAAAATAGTAATCTGATAAAAAAAATCATTTCACCGTAAAAAAAATTCCACAACAAAATGGACAACTAACCGTATTATGAAACAAACAAAAAAAAATGTCAATAAATCTGAACTGAAACAGAAGATTTCAAAACAACAACAACAACAACAAAAAGAAAATTCTACAATTGCTTGGTGATGAATTGATTCAAACACTATTTATTTAGGTGAAGCTGTTGGGTATTATGATACGCTTGATGCGCCACCAAAAATAAAAAAAACCAATTTCAGTAAAATTTGCATAGACTTGTAAACGCTCCCACACAACAAATGGAAACAGAGCAATAAAACATATAATATTTTGTTTGGTGTGAACCAAATGATAATTGAGTTGCTTTTATTTCATATTTTCAAAAAGAATGTTGCCACGGACGTACATTGGTCCACAGAAGGTACAGAAGGTATCTTGCTTGACATTTGTCGCTTTTTGGCCTAATTAATAAAAAATATTCAACCGTGATAAGGAGGCCCCCTTTGGAGTGATCATTAGGTTATCGCATAAGATAAGAGCCGCAGTATGTTGCTTTGGTTTCACGTGTCGCGGTTGGAAACAATAGAATCAGTTTTGATTATTCCATTAGGAATGGATCGTCATCCTGCATTTATTTGAGAAAGAAAGTACCATATATCAGTACGATTCACAGAAACAAATTCGAAACACATTTAGAATGAATGCATGTACAATAATAATGCTAATAAAATGATTTATTAATCGGTTTATCTGTTGCTACGACAATATTGCTAGTGATTAGATGATTTACATTCAAAGCTCCGTAGTATGCGGAATAATAGGATGCAATCGTACATGAATGAATACGGAATTAGTCATCGTGGTTTGGTTGCTTAGCTTCTTACATCTTCTTTTTAACTTATACACACAGGTACGTACAAACACTAATTCTTAATTTAAACATTTGCATGTCTATGGCGAGTTTCATACCCTTGTTCGCTCTGAGTCGCCGGTTAATTTATCTACAATCTGCGCGTGAGTAGAACGATAGAAGAGATAGTAAGTGATAATATTTATAGTTTTGGCATTGAATAAACCGGAATGTCATTGTAATAATTACCGTGCTAATTCCAGGCAGGTTAAGAACTCGACCCAAAATCGGTACTCTTCGCAAAAAGTTAATGGCAACCGGGAAGAAACCGCTAAAAAGTGGAACAGATAGTGTTGTTAGATAATTTGTAATTCAACTCGATTGAATTTAAAGTGTTGTCCAATCTCTTTTCTATTGTCAGTGTTGTTCCTCAAAATATCCGATTCAATATGAACAAAATGAATCATAACACTTAACACGATCATTGATAAGAAGCCATACCTAAACAAAAGGAAAAATCCATAGGATTCAATAATCATGCCAATCAATGGCCATCCGAGAAGAACGATGACAATTCCGCCGAAGAATGCAAGAGATGATTTGATTTTCTTTCGTTGCACGAAAAACCGGAACGTCCGCTCCAGACCGATGATACAAGCCAATCCGCATATGAACAAGATCTAGAGAGAGGTGAAAGTTGAATTAGTATTCTGGCGGAAATTTGATGGAGAAAGTGGAAAACATACATTTCCAATAGCCAACAGGCCCTTATCGAACAATAGTAGCACACCAAGGAATACGAATGCCACACCGAATCCGGCCAAACCGACTCCAATTTCTGTAATTAGACACCAAATCGTCACCGAATTAACATTTACTACATCAACGCTTTTATTTTTGTTTTATTTGACATTTACTTACTCTGTGTATCACTTATTTCAAACATATTGCTACTAATTCCTATAGACTATCGAGATGAGTGTTTCTCTATTTAGGTGAAATACGATTGCTAATTTTGCAAGCTCATTCAAATAAATGCAAAATTTATGACATTAATAGAAAAAGGTAAATTTCCCTATTGTAACTGACGATAAAACATCCACGTCAAAGACGAAATGTCAACCAACAATTCGCTTTTCTACAGCTTGTTTAAGGGCAGCTGTCAACGCACACAAGATTTACAAACCGCACTCAAGTGGCGACAACGTTGGCAACAGTGATTTGACAAAACGGAGATTTTGAAACCGTTCCTAGTCGCCCTGGAAGTTAGCTTGTAGTCCAAAGCTTCTTTTGAAATGAAAATTGATGTTTTTTTTAAATTCTTCAATTAATATCGACTGTATTCCGGCATTAAGGAGTGAAAAGTATTGAAATTTCCATAAATACATTTGCAGTGGAAACGACAACGATTTTTAGATTCAAACTTCCCTTTTGTACCGCAGATGGCGCTGTAGTTATCAGAAACAACAAACACGTGCAAATCAAATGCTGTCAAAATAATAGGTGAAGTGAGCATTGATTCAGTTTAAACAAATTTGTGTGTTAGGATTTTAATTGATAAAGTATTGACTGGCAGAATGGGTGAATCAAAGAAAAGAGCTGCCGACTCAGAAGGTTTGAGTGAGGTGAAGAAGCCGAAATTTGAGAAGAAATCCGCCGCCCCAAAAAACAGTTCAGACAAACCAAAAGGAGGCAATCCGTTTCAGAAGACAGGTACACGCACGTTTTTCTTATTTCTCTTCTCCTAGCATTAATCATCACTCACTGTTTGCAGGAAATAAGTTTGGGAAACCGCAAGGCAAATTCCAAAAGCCACAAGGAAAATTCCAGAAACCACAGCAAGGCAAGTTCCAAGGAAAGTTTCAAAAGCCCGGAGCCGGTGGTCCGGGTAAATTTGGAAAACCCAGCGATGGTCATTCGAAGCAAGCGGCTGCACCAGCACCAGCACCGGAAAAAGTTGACTGGACCAAATTTAAGCAAGAGAAAAAGGAATTGCGGCAGAAGCGCAAAGCAGCCAGAACTGGATTCGATAAAATCCAAGAAGCCAAACAACTTTACGAAAAATTGAAATGGTATGCACTTTTATTAACAACTGATGCACTTACCGTTGAATGTATGCCTGACGTTTGGTTCAAATTCCAGCAAATCAACTGAAAACAAGGCAGAACTTTGCCGTGAACTCCACAAAGTATTCAGAGATGCAGAGACTTACCAAAAGATGGTAATGGCACATGATACAACGCGAATCGTTCAATGTATGCTCAAACGTGCTCCAGCTGAAATTTGTAAAGAAATTTCAGAGGTAAATATTTGATTCACTTGTTGGATTCAGTTGATTCAACTACATTTTATTCTGTGTTCCATTGAGTTTTGTTCATAAAACATACTTTTCTCTCCTAAAAGGCTCTAGTTCCAGTCGTTAGCAAATTGGCCATTTGTGATTATGCACATTTTGTTGTGCCTCGTCTGTTGAAGTATGGAACAATGGAGATTAAACGTAAAGTGATTGAAGCCACATATGGAAATGTGTTTTCAATGTTGAGCCGACCAAAATCCACTTCCATCATTGATACGGTATATTTGTCCTATGCAAGTAGCCAACAGAAGGCTTTGATGCGTCAAGAGTTGTATGGAGATCTGTACAAAAAGGTGAAATTAAGATCCAAATCGTGATCAAAATATTAAATTCAATTTCATATTCTAATTGCTTTCAAAACAACTGCATATATTTAGGCTAAAGACAAAAATGTCAAGTGTATAAAGGATACGTACAAGGATTCACCACACATGAAACTAGCCGTTTTGAATTCAGTCAAAAGTAATTTGGACCACATTGCCAATAAGACATTGGTTGATAACAGGTAAACACCACAATTGCCACATATCTAAATTAAAGCAAAAATATCATTGAAACACTTCTTATCTCTGATACCCCGACTCTCAATATCTGCAGTTTGGTACATGCTGTCTTGTGCGACTATTTGAACGAGTGTAATGAAGAAGATAGAGGTGAAATTATCACAGCATTTTTGCCACACATCGCGGCTTTGGCTAGTACGAAAGACGGCGTTCTCGCCGCTATGACTTGCTTCTGGCATTCGATTGTCAAGGATCGTAGAGTGAGTACCAGTTGAAACAGAAGAAATGTGTGTTTTGTATTTGCTAGAAACTATATCAATAAGCCTTTCATTTTCTTCTTGATTCTATAGGCTATTTTGAAGACGATTCGTGAGCATCTCATAAAACTATGCACTCATGAGCATGGTCATGTCTTTATATTGACCATTATCAATACGACCGATGACACAAAAGCATTGAAAAAATCTATCTTCGATCCAATTTTCGCTGAAATCGAAGCAGTCGTGGCCAGTGAATGGGGCAGAAGAGTCATTGACTGGTTTGTTTCGCCTGGTGATCGAGCACGTTTTCATCCACAAACCATTGCTCTAATTGAAGAAGGTTTGCAATACAGTAAAAAAGATAAGGATGTCCGCCGTGCGGAGCTCCTAGAACAAGTCAGTGAGCCGCTGTGCAAAGCCATCGTTGAGAATCCATACTATTGGGTACGTGGTGGTCATATTGCCATCACAACATTAAATATTTTGAAAAGCTGCAAAGGTGAACTGGCAAAGAAAGCATTAGATAGTGTGGCTGAAGTGGTTTGCAATGTCGACTGGAAAGTGACACCAAAGGAAGTGGAAGAGGAAAACAAAGAAGTTGCCGAAATAAAGAAAAAACTTGAGGCGAAAACAGATGAGTCTGAGGATAAAAAGGGTGTTCCGGAACTAGTTCTTGGTGTTGAACATGCCGGTTTACATATTGCACTCAAGAAATTCCTGAAGATAGAAGGATTCCCATCAGCATTGGCAGAGAAACTGACCGATGAAGTGGTAAGCATATAACTTTGCTCAAAATTTCTGCATCTATTTCACCGCTGCATTCCATGAAATCATCAACATATTAATCCAATGAAATATCTCCTCTAGGTCCAGATATGGTTGCCATTGAATCGTGCTACATTCTTGTTAGTCGACGCATACAAGGGCGAAAATCCAAATGTACAGCAGAAAATCAAAACTTTGGTTACAAAACAGAGGAAATTGCTGAAATCACAAAATCATGCGGCGTCCAAAATTTTGTCGGAACTGCTTGGATTGAAATAGAAACATGTCCCAGGGACGAGATCAAAACTTGTTCACTTTTTATTTTGATATGATTTTATGATTATTAATATTGAATTCTAGAAGGAAAAAAATGAATAAAAAATCATATAAGTTGAGTTTTATGGATGCAAAGTTTATATTTTATTAGTGTTCTCAGATTTGTAATGATTCGCAGTTAAAATTTAAGGGTGTAGCATGCTGAAATTTATTTGATTCGTTCGATGATATGCACCCCAGAGTCGGTTTCGGTGATATCGGAAATTTCACCGACCTTTAAACTGAATGCGACGTCTTCGAATGGCTTTTGCATTTGCCCACGTGAAAATGGACCCAAATCGCCACCACGCTTAGCAGAACTACAGTCTGAGTACTTTTGTGCCAACTCGGCTAAAGTAGCTTCGCCAGATTTGATCTGCAATAGTTTAAAGGGAAAAATCAATCAGTAACTTTAGCAATAAAATCCATCAAACTAATCAAATTGAACCGGCATTCACAGCAGCCCACCCACCTTTTGGTAATATCCGTTCAAAATAGCGCGTGCCTCTTCTTTGGTCCGTGTAATGTTATCCTCGCGCCATGAGCTGGGACGACGGCTATCTCTGTGTTTCACCAATAAATGAGCGCATTGTACTTGACTCGATTCCTTGGCTGAATCACCGTCAGACTTAGCAGGGGATGTTGGTAGCTCCCATTGCGATTCTTTTGTGTAAACATTCAAGTAGTATGGCAATCCTACGAGAGGGAAAAAAACGATGCACAAATTTTAAAGTTGTAATTTGATATGCATGGTGATGAAATCATTATTTCTTGATGATGTCAATGTGTTATCAGCTGACGATGGGATTCTTTTTTATTGATGTTGAAACACAGTAAATCTGTGTGCCATAAAAAAAAACATTGTATCGTGTTACTACTCCATTTGAAATATTACTGAATCCATTTGATTTTTTTTTTCGGTAGTTTTTTTTTACATTCATTGGTTCAACAACAACAAAACATGTAAAAGCATCCGGGTCGCAAAAATTAAGAGTGTGCATTAATAACACGTGTGATAAACGACACTTCACTATGTCCTCGAATGGTTTCGAATGGGCTATTGATTAGTTGCAAGTCTTACTAACCGGTACTGCGGCTTTTCCTTTTTTCCCATCCTGCTGGAACAATTTCCTCTGTAGAATCGGCCATACTCACGATTTCAATTGGTTAATCACTTAGTTTTCGTGCTGGAACGATCACAATTGAAAAAAGCAATTATTTAAGCTAAAATTGATCGTTTGGCTTTGGAAAAAGAACTCTGTTGAAAAATCGTACGATGTAAATGCGTTGTGTTTTGTCGCTAATTTTTTATGTATTAAACTTGCATGCTAAATGTCAAACCGAAGAAAAAACTTTCCCTCCAAATAACATTCGTGATTTTCTTACCACACTTGAACACTTTTGGGCTCACAATGCTTTTCGACTGGTGTTATATTTGGAATGAAAATAAAAATTCAATTTACACAATATTTTTTTTTGGTATTTAGACAAAATCCAAGCAAATTTTCGCAGAAATCTCCAAATCAATTTTTTTCCTGCGTTCAATTCAACGATGAACGCACCCTCTCTCACAATGCCACAGCTGTCAAAACAAAATAGCGACATTCAAAGAAGAAGCAGTAAACAATAATAGCACGTTTACGCTGCCGATTCGATTTTGAGATGATTATTCGAATTTTTCTACCCGAGACCGTCTATCGCGTGAAATCGATTGATAGTTCAAAATATTATCACATTTTTGGGAAAATCGCCAACGATTCCTGGAGCGACAATATTTCAATTTTCGTAGTTGACATTCGCGACCGAGGTGAAAGCGCAACACCGGATCGACAGTTTGTTGGAACGATTCTCACAAAATCCACAAGTGATACTAAACATTTTCTCAGTGATTACGTTTCGTTTAGAGTCGATGGACACAAATCAGTATTAGAAATAGAAACAATTCACTTGCCCAATTTCATTGCAACCGGCACAAACTTCAATACACAAATTCTTCTTTATGATTCGCAAACCTTTTCGGAACTGTCCCATCGCAACGGTGAGCAAAAATGGTGCCAACGACAGGATCCAATATCACAATTGCTACTTTTGATTAAAACCAGAGAAGATTTCAAGAAACAAGAACATGTTGATGTCACGAGAAACGATACAAGCAGAAATCGATTCATTCCAATACTGATAACATTATCGATGTTTTGTGAAACAAAACTCTCGTTCCTCAATTCGTCATTCCTTAAACATTTCCAGTTTTGGACGTCAAACATTGAAAAACTCACACATAATAAGTAAGAAGTCTTTCTCCGTCATTTTAATTTTTATTTTATATTTATCTCTATGTTTTATTATTTGAAGTGTATATATTTGGACTATAATTTTGGATGTGATTGCCGGAATTGTGACAATGCTATGGCTGTGGCGTATCTCGAATGCCGACGAGTACCTGATGCAATTGACAATGGTGAGATCAATTGTTGATTATTGGAAACGATATTTTGATTTTCATAAATTAAAAGGAACACATTGTTCAATTAGATTTCCATAATCACAACAGCGCAAAAACTATTTTTATTTGTTAAAACCATAACATCGTTTCTAATAATACTCTTAAGGATAAGATTTTTCAAAGAAATTTGTATCGGATGCTTCTGAGAATTTGATAAATTTTGATTAAATCATTTGCAAAAAAATTCTCTAATTTCAACTGCTTTTCTTCCAGTTCATTGTGTCAGAATTGCAAGGGCTACTGGACGCGCTGAAAGGAAGCCCGGTGGGATTGAAATTGAATGTGGACTTGAATAATTTCTTCATTGAATGTTTTCGTTATCACATTGACTTGTGGGCTACGTTTTTGGGTTTGTCTCTTTTCTTTGCTAATTCGATTCGAAGGTAAATGCAGTCATTGACCTATAATGTGAACAATTTTGTTTTTTATCGTTTTGTCGATAAATAGTTATCATTTCTCCTCTGGTGAAGTATCTATTTGCGCCACTCGCAATTATTGGCTGTTTTGGGCTATCATTTCAGTTATCTATGTTAGCGGATCTCTTGAGCGTAATCACATTACACGCACATTGCATATATACATACGCATCGATGTAAGATCGCACATGTCATTCAACATTTCGTCTGGAGTTCATTATCTTTATCTTATTTTACAGTGTACATAAAATTGAAATGAATGGATTAGTCGGCGTTTGGCGGGTCGTATCAGGTCGACGAAAAAACATTCTGAAAGGTAAATACGTCTGGATATTAAAATTGTCCATCTTCCATTTTCTCCCTGCATAACATTTCATAATTTTTCGATTCTTTAAAACAGGCCGGATTGAGTCATTTGAATACACAAATCCTCAGCTCTATCTAAGCACAATATTCTTCACGGCGCTGCTGTTTCTGTTGCCCACAAACCTTGTTTACTATGTCGTATTTGCAAGCGTATGTCATGTTTATGGCATTGTTTTGATTTTGCTATTAAATGTTTTATTTCACTCAATTAAGCAATTTGAATTGCTCTTTTTTGAAGATAATTTTCTTTCCCTTTTCGTCCACGATTCTTATTGAAACTGATAATATTGTGTGACGATTACAGCTTCGGTTTGCAATCCAATGCATCATGTTCTTGCTTACATTGGCGCAAAGGAAACTGCTATCGCTCCCGGTGGTCTATATCGTTAAATGGTGCCTTGGACGATACGTCAGCAGTGGTAAATACCAATTGAATTGCAATCAAAAAACAAGATACCAATTTTTTTTTTTGAAAATGTTGATAAAATTTTCCTCCACCCAAAGAAATGTGATTGAACTTTCGGGGGAATAGTATTCTCTCGTCAATGTTTCTCTGGTTTTGAACAGAGCGTGTTATGAGCTGATATCAGCGGCTGACGAGTATGCGTTGCGTTATTTTAACGCATTTGCAGTACAAAAACAAGAGTGGCTACAATCATCCCATTTGAATTGAATGAGATGATTGCAGCCTCTGCAGCTGACGTTAGCTAGTGCTGCTGACGTCAGCTCATAACACGCTCTGGTTTTGAAGTGTAATTAATTACAATGTTTGCATCTCTTTCTTTCATCTAGATAATTTCGAAGTGATATCGCTTGGAAAGGTGCGGAATTCTTCATCGCAAACTCAACCGGCTGCAGTGTTCTCAATAAAGACGGTTCGCAGCGCATTTCCTCGTTGGATCGACATATCCATTGCCAAAGATACATAAAATGGTTTTTTGTACGCATCATTAATTACGTATATTGTTAATAACCAATAAAATATGCTTTTATTCCACACTTCCTTGTTTTTAAATGATTGAATTTGTTTGGTGTCGTTTTTATCATTTGGAATCAAGACAATTTCTTCGAAGCGAACATACAATATGATGTAATAAATGTGTTTCTACGCATACAGTCTTAAGAGAATCATCGATAATAGCAAGTGTCTCTTTAATTTCTAGTCCGTTGACTAAGATCTTCAATGAATTGCTTTCATCTGGCAATTTTCCCGACGAATGGAAACGATCGAGTGTATCACCCATATTCAAAAAGGGCGCCAGATCGGACATTGAAAACTACAGGTGCATAGCAAAACTACCAACGATCGCTAAATTCTTCGAGCACCTCGTCAACGTAAATTTGCTTGAAATCGTTTGTGATCGCATCTCGCCCAACCAACATGGATTTATGAAAGGACGATCTACAGCATCAAACCTAACCGAGTTTGTGTACTACGCCCAGAGTGGCCTGAACATTGGAGCTCAAGTTGATGTCCTGTACACGGACTTTACGAAAGCCTTCGATCGAGTTGATCACAACATTTTGATTCAAAAACTGAGGTCATTCAATCTACCTCAAAACTTGCTGGCATGGCTTAAGTCGTACCAGGAAAAGCGTATTCAATTTATCAAGCACGGAGGAAGTGAGTCGAACGATTTTACAGCGTCGTCGGGTGTCTCACAGGGGACTTGGCCCAACACTGTTCCTGCTATTCATCAACGACATCATGGATCAAATGCCCCCAGGCATCATGATATTTATAGAAGTGAAGTATTTAGTAATATATTACTATTTCCTATTACTATTACAGGCTATTACAGTAATGGTTAATACTTTTATCGTATTACTTTTTCCTATTACTTTTGTAAAAAAAAACCTATTACTATTACTATTACAATTACTGTAATAGGAAAAGTAATAGTAATAGGTAAATCCTATTACACAAGTAATAGCTTCTGTAATAGCTTTCCTATTACAATTTCTTTTCCTATTACATGTAATAATAATAGTAATAGTAATGCCTATTACTTTCCTATTACTTTTTCAAAAAAAAATGAAAGTCTCATATAAAAAACTTTTTTTCTACGCCAGACGCTTTTTTTCATGAGGAAAAATGAGTCTGGCAAAAAAATCTAAATTTTTTACACGAAACTTTTTTTTAGAAAAAATCGGAAAGTTTCATTTATTAGTCACTAAAGCGTCTGTCGTAGAAAAAAAGTTTTTTATATGAGACTTTGAAATTTTGTTGTTGAAAAAGTAATAGGAAAGTAAAAGTAATAGGTGATCCCATTACATATACACTACCGTGCAAAAGTTTGGAACCACTAGGTATTTTTCATACAAATTGACCATTAAAACAAATCACAGAGGTTTCATCAAAAAATATTCACGTATTTAAAAAATGTATCAATTTGAATTTGATTTGTTTTAATCTTCAAACAAATTTGATCATTTTTTACACAGTACAAATTCAAATTGCTATATTTTTGAAATTCATGAATATTTTTTGATGAAACCTTTGTGATTTACTATTGAAACGTTGTAGAAACTATGCACAAAATATCAAGAGTGCAGGTGCTTCCGAAATATGTTAATGAGTCCACCAAAAATGGTCAATTTGTATGAAAAGTACCTAGTGGTTCCAAAATTTTGCACGGTAGTGTATAATAGCGTAATAGGCATTACAGTTTTTTACTTCTATAATGATATTACTGTTTGCCGACGATATCAAAATTGCCAAAATCATCAAATCTCAGCAAGATTCGGAGATGCTACAACAAGCCATCGACAAACTTAAACATTGGTGTGACGTGAATCTGCTGCACCTTAACCTCAAAAAAATGTGCAGTGCTATCTATCTACAAGAAACGTCAGCATTTGGATACAAGCTACACCTATGGAGACCACACCTTTGACAAAGTGACACAAGGACTTGGGTGTTCTAATTGACAGAAAACTATCATTTGCCAAACATATTGATATGGTCACTTCAAAGGCAACGACTGCACTTGGCTTTGTCAAACGCTTCTGTCACGATATCATCGACGTTACCACACTAAAATCGCTGTATTTTGCATTGGTTCAATCTCACCTCGATTACTGCGCCATGGTATGGCTTCCATTTCACAAAATCCACAGCGACAAAATTGAATCCGTGCAACGCAAATTCACTATGTACGCTCGTCGTGAATAACCGTGCATAACCAATACTCAATTACACCGTACGAGCAGCGATTGTCAGACTTGAACATGATTAGTCTTCGCCGTCGACGTGTCAACGCGTCATTGACTTTCTTCTACGACATCATCAACGGTAACGCTAACTGTCCAACAGTTAGAGACCAAGTATCATTTCATCATGACCGTTCGTTGAGGCACAGTGAACAATGCAAGATCAATGACAAGCACATGGAGTTGGTGCGCGAGACTCCGGTTCCTCAAGTGTGCAAAATGGCGAACATGGTGCCGGAACTTTTCACAGCAGCGACCTCAAAGACGGATTTTGCATCATCGGTTCGCAAAATGACGGACACCACTTTTGGATCGCTTTGCAAACTCAAATGACTACCTGGCCGCCTAGTCAATTTTTCATCTAGGTAACTTCATTTTTTGTATATGTTCTATACGAGAACACCTTGATACTGCCCACACTAATGATGAAATTGCGATTTTCATGTTGCCCTTAAACCCGATCCATGATATTAAGCGGACTAATTCATCAAGGACAAAGCATACTGCCCGGGTGCCTTTTGGGTTGCTTCTGATTGCAACAAACATGAGCGGGGCTGTCCCAAGTTTCAACCACCCACGTGGAATTCAACTCATCTCGCACGGATCACACAGCAAAATCAATATTAAAAGACTGACGAATTTTCCCATACATTCTTTTATGTGTATTGAAAAGATGATACTTATCTGTGATGTTTACACTTATTTATTGTAGATTTTTATTATGATTTTGTGCTTTGTTGTAGCCATCCACGAGTTGGCGAGTTAATATTCTTATCTTTGAAGTCAATTTTGAACTTTTTACCATTTAGCGTCAAATGATCTAGTTACGTTTCAAATCATGGTCCACGTCAACTCAATGCACTCTGCAATCAACATGGATCTGCCTTAACCAACGTAAAACTTCTCATCAATTTATCTATCGGATAAATTAAGTGACAACTTTTGCAGTCTCAAAGTCTTAAATTTAACGCGTAACAGTTAACGCTTCACATAGCCTTTGTCCCTTTGGAAACGTTTACCAAAGGTTATCTTGGACCGTTTGCTATAGACTAATATTAAGCATTTCCATCTTGGTTGTATGACTGTCTTCGTTTTCATGTTCATACTATTGTGATTACCGCATAATGTACGAAAAGAGCCAGGTTTTTAACGAGGCGAGAACTGAAAGTTTTCGAAAGTTACTGCTACTATTGTTCAACATTTTAAATGTGAAGAATTGTATAATCGAAAATGATGTCGAAAATGTCTCATAAAGAACAAAATCGATTCAAACAATTTTCAGCGAAATTTTCAAATCTTCTCGTTTTTGATAATTTATTGAATTGAATGAGTGTCTGAAGTATACCTGTATACAACGAAACCGCGTCCGCAGTTAATATATCGAAGACAAAAAATTTTGCCATTCAAAAGTTGGAATTAAAAATCCCTCATATAAGGCAAAAACCTTTCAACACATTTTTCAACGAAATTTTCAAATCGAACCATTTTTCATAGTTTGATAAATTGAACGAGTTTCTGAAGTCTACTTGAACACATTGAAATCAATCTCATAGCTAAAATACGCCGAACAAAATTGTTGTCGTTCAAAAGTTGAAATCGAAAATCATTCATATTGGGAAAAAAATTGACTCAACTTTCTTTCAACAAAATTTTGAAATACACTCGTTTATGATGGTTTGACGGATTGAATGAGTTTCTTGGAGGAATTCCAGTTTAAAATGTGCAAAATAGAAAATTCCGTCGGTCAAAAGATGATGTCGAAAATTCCTCAATATGTCATACCTAAATATATCGCTTAGTTTTAGTCTGTGAAGAATGTATGTACATGTACATTGAAAATACTGCATTATATGTTCGCAAATGCGTGTTTCAATTTGTCCCTATTCAGTAGAATTGGAGTATTTTCTGAATCAAATCCGAACCAACTTGAACTGAACGTGAACAGTTTTAAGAAAACTGAACATGAACTCGAACGAACAAAAACATCATTTTACTCATTTTTCTCATTTTGAACAATTTGAACTGAACGCGAACGAACATGAACATGAATATAACAATATTTTTGAACGTGAACCGTTCATGAACGTTCAACTGGCAGCTCTATGTAGTACATGGGAAATATGTACAAAAACCTTGTTGTAATATATATCGCAATTATTTCAGATAATCACGTAACTGTGCATGGGAGAATGAAAACTAAAATGCATTTTTCTACAATTTTCAAATTTATTTGGTTATTTTGTTGAACATCAAATGACAGGGACAAATAAAGAGACGGTATTCAGCTTTTTCAAGCGCTTAAAACCCCTTTTTTCAAGTTCATGTTCTTATTCTTTGATAACGTCCCACCTTTGGCTTCCGGATCCAATCAAGCAACGGTGCAATCGGTTGAAAAATAACTGGCTTACCACGCGAACGAAATATGGTCATGCCCACGAGTTTGTTATTTTTTTTCGAAACCATTGGTCCTCCATACGTATAGGGAGTTCCCATGCTTTCATCTAAAGTGTAACACATCAAATGATTTGCATCAAATGCAGCGTCCAATTTCGGTTTGCAAATGGCGCCATCTAAATACTTTGTATCATAACGCCTCGTTCTCATTGTTCCATCCAATGTCATATCACCATAGACAGTGACCATTTCGGATGGGTCATTCATTTTGTAATCTTTGTCCACCAAATCGATGCTGCCGACGTTATTGTTGAACTCCAACGGTTTTTTAAGTGTAATCTTGGCAATGTCAAATGCGAATCCCGACAATGCGTATTTCTCATGAATTTCTATCTGGTCTTTAGTGACTTTGATTTTTGTCGGATTGCTTGATAGTTTATTAACGATTACATAGACATATGGGGCGCCAAGCACATTATGCGCACAGGTCAAAATCTCCGTTTCCGACAAAATGATTGCATTAAATTTTAGTTCAAGATTTTCGTCGGCATCGGCAAAATCTTCTTTGTAAGCAGTAACAAATTCTGTAATAGAAAAACATCTCAGAATGAATATTTAAGTTTATGAATCATAAAAAATCTCCACTTTTGCTTCTCCTCTATTTAAAATAAAAAAAAAGTGACGTTAAAAACGGTTTGATTTAGTTCGAATTTCGAATGCACACTGTTCAGGGAGAGCGCAATAGATAATAATAAAAATACATTTGGTTTCTTTTATGCTTATTTAAATGTTTTATTGCAACGAAAATTGTGTGTGTTTCACATGGCTGCTGACGAGTGACTAAATCTAAAACTTAAGTACTAAAAGAATGAGAGAGAGGATGCCAGTGGATTCGTGAATGTGCGCAAGCGTATATGTGATTGAATGAATGGCCGATCAATGTGCGTGTATATATGAGCGTATGAATATGTGAGTGTGTATGTATACCTCAATAATATGCGTATTATTGAACACTCCCCCCCGTTGAGAATTTCAATTCTCAACCCAGTAGTCTAATTCTTGATCGGTAGGCATAATGCATATTTTTCTTATCGAGCGATCCAATTTACCATTCTGCGTTTTTAGCGTAACAGAGCGAACACATCCATCTTTCGCTTTATGCGTTTCAATAATGCGTCCCATTGCCCAATGCGTTGGAGGCAAATTTTCATCTTTTATCAAAGCTAGTTGATCAATTTCGACATTCTCTTGCATTTCTCTCCATTTCGGTCGGTGCATAAGCGAATGGAGATAGTCTTGTGACCACTGCTTCCAAAATGAATTTGTTTGTGCTTGAAGCGTAGCATATAAGCGTTTCGCCGTTTTGGGAGGTTCACCGGCATCTTCTGGCAAGGGAAGTTTCAATGGACCACCAATTAGAAAATGCGCTGGCGTAAGCGTTGATATATCAGAAGGATCGTCTGACATAGCACATATAGGGCGTGAATTTAGGCAAGCTTCAATACTTGCTAATAGCGTTGATATGGCTTCGTATGAATATTTTTGGGGGCCCATTACGCGTCTTAAATGGTGCTTCATAGACTTAACGGCAGCCTCCCAGATTCCACCTTCATGTGGTGCAGCTGGCGTAATAAAATTCCATTTTGTATGGTTACAACTTGCGTATTGTTGCACTTTAGCGTCAGCAAAAGATTCCACAGCTTCTCGTAAAATTCTATCACCTGCGACCAAATTTGGACCGTTGTCGCTATGAACAGTTTTCGGATTTCCTCTGCGTGATGTAAATCTTGTGTAGGCTTGTAAAAATGCGTCGGCCGATAAATCCATTACTGGTTCCAAATGAATAGCGCGCGTGACTAAACATATGAAAACAGCAATCCAGCCTTTGACTTCTGGCAAATTTGCTTTTGAGCGTGTATTTAAATTTAGCTTATCTGTTAATTTCATTAAAAAGGGGCCAGCTAAATCGACACCAGTTGCTTCAAAGGGTCTAGCTGGTTTTAAGCGTATAGCAGGCAATTCAGCCATGATTTGACTTTTAGTTTTCTGTGCATAACGTGTACATCTAGCGCAATCATGTACAACTTTCCGAGCTTGTTGGCGTAATTGAGGAATCCAATAAGCGTTGCGTATATATGCCATCATAATTTGCGTTCCACCATGTTTTGTTTCATGATGTGCGTGGTAAATAATAAGATATGCAAGCCTCGAGCGTGGGGGAATTATTATTGGGTGCCTTTGCATATATGGAATATGAGCCTTGTCAATGCGTCCTCCTATTCTCAAAACATCATTTTTGTCCAAAATTGGTTGCATACTTGAAATTTTAGACTTTGATGAAAGCATATCTTTTGATTTCAGAGTTTCTATTTCTTTTTTATATTCAAGCAGTTGAGCATGCTTAACCCAAACTGTGGCTGCGTTTTGCATTTCGAAAGGTAATGGAAATTCGCCTCTATTCCATAGCACTTTACGTTTTAAGCGTATGTAATCAATGAAGCGTAAGACATATGCAGTAATTCTTAAAATTTTCGTGAAATTATTTGTGCGTAAATATAATTCCATTATACTTTCTTGTGTTTGGCCCTTATGAAAAATCTTTCGTTTACATGTTAGCGTAAGAAGAGTCAAGTTTACATTTTGCGTCATTTTAACTTCTTCATTTAGTCTGAAGCGTGCTGTTATGATACAAAGTTTCGCCTTGTTCATAACAGACCGGGCAGCGTTTGACCCAATTTGGTTTATCCCAACATGGTTTTTTACCATGAGCTGGTTGAACGCACATCAGACACAAATTATTAGTTTTTTGATAGATCTCCCGATCTTCAACGCTCATCCCTTTCCACGTCGGACAAGAATATGTCGGATGTTTTACGCGACAAAGTAAACACAGCGGTAGATTCTCGTTTGTGCGTGAAGCGTTTTGAGAAGTGGAAGGATTGGCAGCGTTTTGTTTTTTTGATTGGTTTCGATTTGCGTTGTTTTGTTGGTTTGGCATGTTCAGCGTATTTTTTGCGACATCGCGCAAAATTTTTGCCTGTTGGTCTAAAAATTGTTCCATTTGCATCCAAGTTGGTAGCGTGTCCGATGACTCATCATCATCTTTCGCAGCGGTGGCATTTGCGGAATCAGTATTAGCGTTAGTTGTACCAGTGTTAAATGTGCTGGTATTAGCGTTACCAGAGGAACCAATTGCATTAGTAGCGTTATTTGAACCACCAACAGCACCAGCGTTATTCAAGCTTGAGTTTGAACCCATATTTGGCGTTTCTGGATTTAAATCTCGGCGTATGCGTTCCCAATCTTTTCGCGTTTCATGATCTAGCTTGTCGACCACAAGAAAAATAATCAATGGATCCCAGTCTTTTACTGAAACATATGCAGACAGCTGGCTTAAACATTCATGAACTGTATCAATAATGTTTCGAAGACCATCTCTTGATGCGTGAGATAGCTTCGGAATGCATAACAGTTTTTGAATAAGCGTTTGCACAGCCATGTACTTATCTCTGTACTGGGTACACAACCATTTCCATGCGATTGGGTAATTTTCATCTGTTTCGTCCCATCTGGCTAAAGAGCGTAGAGCCTCACCGGATAACGAAGAGCGTAAATGATGCCATTTGTCGGCAATTGGAATTTCCGATTTATCGTGAATGCGTGCCTTAAAACGATCTCGGAAGGCTGGCCAAGCTGCGTAGTTGCCGTCGAAATGACCCCATGAATTTGGAATGTCGCGTGCGTTCGACTGTTGTACTTTTACCGTTACCTCTTGTTTTCCAGCAGCCTTTGCTGCGGGTGCTATTTCGGCAATGCGTGCGCGTATTTTTGATCGAATGCTTGATTGAATTTTTTCAGCGTTCACAAATTCTTTTTCACACTCTTCTGTATCTTCTTCTTCAAACAAATCATCAAAAATTTTTTGATATTCATCCTTGTAATTGGTCCAGTTATCAGTGAGCGTTGCAAGCATTTCTTCGAGTTCATATTGCGTTTTGTCTTTGAAATCTTGTGCGTCGGTTTCAGTTTTAGCTCGATTGATACCATTGATGAAATGTTTGCGTCTTTTTTTATTTGCATTTTGCTCGCGTTGAGTCTGCGAAGCCGAACGGTTTCGTCCCATTTTGTAGGAATTTTGCGTATTTCTAAACCGATTTATCCAAAAAAAAAAAAATGCGTGAAATTTATGTTGGATCACAAATGCGTTTGCTTTGTATTGGTTAAACTGCGTATCACCAAATGACACTCAACAAAAAATTTCTTAAATCACAAATTTTTATCACAATGCGTTGATTTATTTGATTGTTTTAATTTAAATAGCGTTTTACTTGATAAAATTTCTTATTTAGCGTTGCTTAAATTTGATTATTTGATATAAACATGAAATATACTTTGAATTTCACAATGAAAAATTTTCTATATTGCCAATCAATCGAACACTGATGTGAACACATTAGCTGTCAGACACAGAATGCCGCTACAGTACACTTACCAAGACTGCCGCATGCACTCACGCGTCCGGCAACCAAGCGCACAACCAATCACAGCGCATCTCCGATCGTCTTACTCAGAAAATCTTTTCAGCCAATCAGAGAACCCGTACGATCGGCATTAGCGGTGAAAAATATTGACAAGCGTCGTTTCAACATTTCTGTTATTTGCGTGCATCGACAATATTCAACAGAATTTTGTCAACATGGTTTGAGCGTATTTGAACGAATTTCACAACGAGCGTTGCTGTATTTCGTCATCTAAATGCATAGCGTTTGACCATATTGAGATGAATTTCACAACAAGCATTGCTATGTTTCATCATCCAAAATGCATAGTCTTGCATGAATAAACATGTATTGACAAAATCTCATCAATAAGCGTTTACAACCGAAATAAATGAATTTCACAACATAGCGTTGTTGTTTCGTTATTTTTTGTGCATAGCGTTATCGATTGTTTTACAGCGTATGTTTACTTAGGCGTAACAAGAAAGAGCCATAAATCACAATGTTTATTTTCTTTCTCTTAGCGTTGCCAATGCATTTTTTTTTTTTTTTTTTTTATGGTCTTGAAAATGCGTCTTAGCGTTGAGTCACTCAGCACCACATGAAATTTCTAACACACAAGCGTATTTGAAATTTGAAACTCACTTCACAAGTGTTTTCGGACAATGAATTTCAAAATGCGTTTTTTGGAAATAAATTTCACTTTTTATTGCGTAGTAGACTGTATTGTATTCGAATAGTCGAAGGACCAAATGTTCAGGGAGAGCGCAATAGATAATAATAAAAATACATTTGGTTTC